AAATATTACGAATAAAAGATTTAAAATTTCTTTTTAAAAAATTATAATATATATATATATATATAAAAGGAAAGTGGAGGATGTGGCAGACAACTGTTGTGAACTTGTCACCATAAAGAGTGGCTGATATTGTTGTTAGGATGGCCCTCATGTTAGAAAAAATGCACCATTTTATTGTCTCTTATTTAATGGGCTAGAGATGGTCTCTGATGATGGGCACTTTGTTTTAAAAATATCTTTTAAACTTCTAAAAGTTACAGTAATATAAATAAAACTTTATAAAATTTTTTACGATTGGGACTAAATTTAAAAAATAGCGTTAACACTCTTAAACTTTGTTAGATGGATACGACCCTCCACAATAATATGATATTGTCCTCTTTGAACCTAAACTCTCGTGACTTTGCTTTGTGCTTATCTAAAATGACACATACTAATGGAGAAAGTATTCCCTAAATTAGCTGACTTTCCTCATCTGACAAACTTTACATAAATTTCACTATCAATATATGAATTGAAACCGTCTACCAACACATCATAGATTTTCTTCAAACATTTAATGTCGCTTTTAAAAGTTAATGAATATTTTCTAAACGCTGTACTAACTAATAAGGACATTTAAACCTCCTTGTTAGTAAAATAAAAATAAAAAAGAATATTTTTAAAATTCTTCTGAAAATTCAATGCTATTTTTGAAATAAAGTATTAACCTTATATCCAAAATTAATCATAAAATATGTTTTAATATTTTTTAATTTTAAGATTATTATTGAAATTTTTGAAAATTTTGTCAGACAAAATAAAAAGTTTAAATGTATTATTATTATAAAAAATAATTAAAGGTTGTTCGTTTTCTTTTTTCTCTCTGTTGGTGGCTAAAACTTTCCTAAAGTTGTAGGCATAAAAATTAATAATGGAAACTTTAATTAGTGAGCTTTTTTTTTCTTTTAGGGAAAATTTGTTATTTTTAGACAAATTTTCTAAATGTTAAAATTACCATTCAGCCCCTACAAATTCATAAATTAATTGTAACTCATAAAATTAAGTTTTTGGATTATTTAATTAGAAGTAAAAATAATAATAAAAATTAACATTGTTCTTAAAAAAACGAACTTAAGAATTTAGAAACTAAAAGAAAACAAGAGGAGCAGAAAATCGGAGAGAAGAGAAGTGGGAATTAATCGATTATTTTATTTTTCTATTTTATTAAAAAGAAAATAAATTAAAAAAAAAAATCAGGTTCGGAGGTGATCTAAAGAGAAATCAAAATTGAATTTATAAAGAGAAAGGGAGAAATTAGAAAAGAACCTGGAAGGATCTTGGAGGCCTTTATTTCGTCGGTAGCTCTGTGCCTTTGTTCAACAAATTTGATGCATTTGGAGAGAGGTTTTCGGGTTGGTTGTCGTTATTTATAATATTGTGGTCTTCACAACAAAGGGGCTCTGAAATTTTCGCATAGGATTGGTGATAGTGACCAATTTTTTTATTCACCCAATTATGTTGAAACTTTAAATATTTATTATTATTATTATTTAATGTTTTTTCAATATATATATATATATATATATATATATGTTACGGGCATAAAAAGGTTTGATTATTAAAAAAATCTTTTGAACCAATACGAAATTTCGTATTGGTTGAGTTGGGTGGTGGCTCGAGTCACCCAAATTGAGTTTCCATTCAAACTCAATCTTTTATTTTCAAGTTGAATTTAGTTTAATTATTTAAAAAATCATTTTTATATAAACTAAAATCTCATAAACCTCTGATATCAAATATTTATCGGTCACTAACATTCATCGTAAAGGTTAAATATTCTTAATTTTTTTTTAAGTATGGTTGGGTTAGATTAGATTGTAATTATATTTTCGAGTTGATCGGGTTGACCGGACAAAAAATGTCAAATTGCAAGAATTCAACTTTAACCCAAACACGAAAAAAAAAAAATCCAACCCAACTTTTGTAGTTGGGTTGGATAGTTCAGATTGGTCGAGTCATCGGGTCACATGAACACTATTATTTTTTTTTTGTTTGTTAGTGTGTTAACATAAAAAAGTCTAAACTTGTCTAGACAATAACACGACAATTTTATATTCTACCGTCTAATAAATTTTGTAATTATTTTTTAATACAACAGATATATACGAAGTATATCAGAGAGTATATATCAATTACTAACACTTTTATATTTAGTTTTGTGTAAATTATATTTTGTTGGGTTTCTAATAATTTGGTTGAGTAAACCTTAAATTTTTTTTTTATATTATTATTTGTTAAATTAAAAGTTGGATATGCAAATTAACAATGTTGCAAAATATTTTAATATGATGACTAATAAACAATTTCACACTTTTAAAAAATTTTAAAATGTTTAATATATATTCGTGAATAATTTTAAAATATTCAAAATTATTTATATAGTATCGTTTTTTTATACGATAAAAATAATTTTGGTCACTCGAAAATCATTTTCAATAATTACTAAATCATAAATTTACATATTTTCGAGCATTAATTCAAAGTTAATTAAATATATTATGAATTAATTATTTTATCTTGTTTGATTGGAGGTGTCAAATATTTTAACTCGTGGGTTGCTTCAACATATATATTTTTGTATTAATGAATTTGCAAGTTGACATTAGGCACCAATCCACCGAAGACCTAGTCCTCACAAAGTATTCACCAAGATAACGTCCGATACGACGTCGTCCTACGCAATCACTTCATTTTCACTTTTTATTTATTTATTTTTGTTAAAATTCGTTAATTAACAAAATTTACCAAATAAAAAATTTATGTCAATTTAATTTAATTTGACAATTTTTGTTATTTTTTATTTTAATTTCCTCTTTTGCTAAATAATAGTTTTACAAATTTACCAAATAAAAAATTCTTACTTATTAATCTAGCCTATATTAAATTATCCAAATTTTTTTATAAAAAAAATTTAATTTAGTAATCCACCGTAAATAGCTATTAAATTATAACTTTAGTTCTTACGATTCGGTCTAGATGATCAGGTATTCAGTTGTCTTTTAACAATATACAGGTAAAGTATTAAAAAAATATCGATAATCGATTATTAAAATTCGCTCAAGTTGCATATTATGTTTTTATTCGATTTATATTAATATTATATTGAAAATATACGTGTAATATACATATTAATTAAATAAATTTGAATTGAGTTGTTATGACCATATAATTATACGGCTAAACCAACCTTTCAAGATAACATTACAAATTTATAGACCTAAAAATATAAATTAATAGACCAAATTTATAATTATGCCTATTTGATATCATCGTAGGTGAAGAATTAAGTGACTACGAGAACCCTAAATTCAAAAATTTGTTTAACCATACCGATCAGTATATTTAATAAAAAATTTCATAATTAATTCAATTACAACTATCATATATTATTTTAGTTCTAGATCTACCTTAAATATATGAATCGAGTCAATAAATATTATATATTTTTTTATTCATTATTAGATCTAAATACATCATTTAATAATTTTTTTTTTGTCAAACACATATAAATCCAAAAATTATTACACATATAATTGAAATAATAATTCAAAGCTCTAAATCAATCCATAAACAAAAAAATAAGGCAAAAAAAAAGAAGTTTTTTATTTTTATTTTTTTTAAATACACTAGATGACAAATTTCCATATAAATCTTAAATATTTATTAGTTGATAAATATAATATTAATAGCTATTTTTCTGTTAAAAATTTAAGACAATGTGATGGGACATTAGATACCCGTGACATTCTTTTATGAAAAAATAAGATTTTTTTATTTATATTTTAATCAAATCAAGACAAAATAAAAATAAAATATTAAAAGTACAATATATAGAAGAAAAAATAATTTAATATAATAATTTTTAAATGAACCAGATAATGCCAATGTCATATTTTAGAGATTTTAGCTATTTATTAACAACACAACGAATATTCGATAAATTATTTTCCCCAACAAAAATAACATAATTAAGTTCCAGGCAGCCTTTTATTGGTCGTATTTATAATTGAAATGAAAGGAATCTGGTGCGTTTGACTTACGGTGGCTACGATGTACGTCACATGGTGATGGGATTATTGTACGATTGACACGTGGTAACATCAGGAGATATCCATCGTTCTTGTCTGCCGTTCCATGTGATCAAAGTCAACGGCTCTGATTATTATATTAGTTTTAGTGAAGTCATCGAGCTTCCTCATCCTTTTATTTTGTTTATTTATATTAAAATATTGTGCTTGTCTGACACCTGGCAATTTTGATAAGAACATTATTTTATTTTATTTATTTATTTATTTTGAATTTACGACTTATGAAAGTGCATGAATTACTTAATTATGGTTTGATGATAATATTCCTTTAATTAATGACATTTTAATTTAATATTGTTTGCTGTTGCTAATATATTATATATATATATATATATATATATATATATATATATAATTTTAAGGTTGAAACTAATTTGTAATATTGAAAATTTTAATTTTTAAAAATTATACTAATTAATATATTTGAAATAATTTTTTAAATACTTAAAATAAATTTTATAACAGCCCACCCCTAATAGATAGTCCTTTTTGGACTTTATCTTTTGAGATTTACTTCAAAATTTTTAAAACGCGTACGTTAGGGAGAAGTTTTCACACTTTTGTAAAGTTATAAAAAAATGTTTCATTCTCGTCTTCAACCAAAGTGGGATTTCACAATCTACTCTCCTTTGAGACCCAATGTCATTGCTGACACTCGTTCCTTTCTCCAATCGATGTGGGCCCCCCAAATTCACTCCATTCGGGCCGGCACATCGCCTGGTATCCACCCAAGGGCTCAGCCTTCAAGCCCAATCTCAGGCCCATTTGAAGCCCAAGCCCAGGGCCCATCTCTCCTACTTCACTCCCCAGGCCCAGAACACTCGCGCCGAAGAATATTAACAGAGGACGGATATTGCGCTCGAGAATGCAGTTTCAAGTTTCATACAAGGCTGAATGCGACGGCGCCGAGCTCAGCTCATGAGGTGGACAGCCAAAAGAGATGCTAACCGTTGCGGGACTTCGATCCTGTAAGTATCTTTCCGTTCCTAATTCGTCATTCGAGCCTCAAAATTGCTTAGTTTCATCCAATTCCTTTAGAACATTTCGCACCTTTCCCGGATTTCTAACGCCACTAATCTCAAATTCAAAATTCTGTTCCACTTCTAATTGGTCCGATAACTGCAATAAATCTAAGAAGTTTACATTTCGGGAAAGAAATAGCGTAATATTTTGCTCTAGGAATGATGTTCTTCGTAATTTATCGGGCCACCAGGATGGAACTGAAGACATTTATGAACTTAGTTTGTTAAAAAAGCCCTCTCGTGCTTCTATAAGCAACGGTAGTTCATCAGAAGTTCATAAAGAGGTTGTAAATCCTGATGAGAATGAGAGCTTGACGCTATTTATGAAGTTCTTTAAGATTATAGATTCTGTAGAAAATGAAGAAGAGGAAAAAGCATTACAAGCATTTGAAGAGAAAATTGATGGAGAGGATGAATCTGATAAAGAAGCCAATAAATTAAATGTTGAGTACTATGAGCCCAAACCTGGAGATGTCGTGGTCGGTGTAGTCGTCTCAGGTGACGAAAACAAGCTTGATATCGATATGGGGGCGGATTTATTAGGGACAATGTTGACAAAAGAAGTGCTTCGTTTGTATGACAAAGAGATGGAATTCTTGGATCTCGACAAGGATGCCGAGTCTTTTATGGTTAATGGGAAGATGGGGCTGGTGAAATATGATAATGCTGTTAGTGATGAACCGGGGCCGGGGCAACCTATCATAGAGACTGGCACGGTTTTGTTTGCAGAGGTTTTGGGAAGGAGACTCGGTGGTCGACCATTGCTAACGACTAGAAGATTGTTTCGGTGGTTAGCTTGGCATCGAGTGAGGCAGGTTCTTTTCTTTAAAAGCTTCTCTGCTTACTGAAGTTTCCGTCTTAGAGGGTACAAAGAAGAAATGTATGTATATGTTGTGGTTTCCTTGTTCGACAGATAAAACGACTCAACGAGCCAATTGAAGTTAGAATATCAGAGTGGAATGCGGGAGGCCTTCTTACAAGAATTGAGGTTGTTTATGTGATAGTAATTCATTTGGTCTTGGACTTCTGTTTCGTTTGTCTATGCTTATGTTTTGTTTCGGTTCGGTTCTGAAGTTTGGTTATGCAGGGTTTGCGAGCATTTCTTCCGAAGGGTGAGTTATTGAATAGAGCAAATAACTTCACGGAGTGGAAAGAATATGTGAGTACGCTTCGGTTTCTTTTATTTTTCAGCTGCTATATGCGTTATCTTAGAAAAGCGTTCGGTTCACCTGTCATGTAAATGGCCTCTCCCCATTCCATTGAAAATCGTTGTTGCCCCGAGACTATGAAGTTGCCATGTCCTTAAAATGTTGTTGTATCATGTTCTTATTCATGATTACTCGAATCCCTTCGAACTGGTGCGCCTTTTGCATCAGAGACCTCTGTGCCTTGAACCGAGCTCTTTGCAATAGCGATCTTACTAAACACTCTTTGCTTGACATAATTGGACAAAAGGACGGTATAGACGACCTTAGCTCACTGTACTTGTCTCCTATCGTGCAGGTGGGACGTCGGATCTTTGTGCAAATCACTCGAATAGTCGAAGCTAAGAACGATGTGATACTAAGTGAGAGACAAGCTTGGGTCAGTTTAACCACTACATTTTTCAAATTTCTCCTCAAGGTATTGCATGAGTACACCAATATAAATAGGCGATTTTGTGTCTCTTATCTCAGGAAACGTTGTACCTACGTGAGGGAACGCTTCTAGACGGGACCGTGACGAAAATATTTCCGTTTGGAGCTCAAATTAGAATTGGCGATACGAACAGACTGTGAGTTTCAATTTACTTAGCCTGCAACTTCCTCTCGAGTTGAGTTTGATGAAATTAAAAATTTAGTGTTATGTTTTGACCGGACATACCATATTTTGTTGTTCTTATCGATCTTTAGCTTCTGAGAATTATTGATACATCCATCTGAATGTTCCTCAGCGGGTTACTCCATGTTTCAAACATCACCCGTGCCCGAGTTACCTCGGTGAGTGACTTACTTGTAGTGGGCGAAAAGGTCAAAGTTCTAGTTGTGAAGTCAAATTTTCCTAACAAGATATCTTTAAGGTAGTTCAGAAGCATATTATTATTCAATCTAACAGTCTTATGATTGGTGCATCTTGTAACTTAAATTTTGCCTTTATGGTTTTACAGTATAGCTGACCTTGAAAGCGAGCCCGGACTCTTTATATCGAACAAAGAGGTAGCACACATCGATCCTCCTCACCGATGAACCTCATTTTCTTCAAAAATTGACCGTGTCATTTTTTCTTTTCCTTTATCAGAAAGTATTTTCGGAGGCCAAGATCATGGCAAAGAAGTATAGACAAAAGCTACCCGTGATCAAAGGCGTATCCAGGCCGTTACCTGCTCCCGTTCCAAGATCCGAACATGCTCCAACTACAGATCTTCCATTCGAAAAAGAATCGAGCATGTATGCGAACTGGAAGTGGTTCAAATTCGAAAGGTAGTTGTTTATATGATCTCTCTTTCATGCTTCCCAACCAACCAACCCTTCATGAATGAGTTTTCGTTATCATTTGTCGTTGACCGTTCCTGTTCGATTTTGTGGAATGATATAAACCAAGGAATGAGAAATGACGTTACTTGAACGGGATCGGGATCGGTGTCCTTGAGTTTTAAGGAGATAAAATCCAGGGAAAGGGAAGTTTTAAAGATAAAATTTTGAACATAGTGAATTTTTCTTTGTTTTTTATTTTATTTTTTACTCTTGAAATTATTTCTTTCAATTTTTCTCTTAATTTTTTAATTTTATATATTGGACATAAAATTGAAGTTTGTGTCTAATAATGTATTAAACTTGTGATTTTTAAAATTTTTTAAAAAATGTCAAATAAAAATTTATGATTTTTTTGGAATTTTTTAAGTTAAAAATTTTATTAGATACAAAATAAAAAAATTAATAAAACGTTTAAAATACAAATCTTGTATCATACTACATAAGATGCCTATAAATTACACCACAAACTTTAATAACAAATGAAAATTTTACTTTATACAGTTTAAGTACCAAATTAAATTATTTAAAAACCAACATATATCAATATTTAGTCATTTTTAATCCAAGATGTATACATGAGGTCAACCATTTTTTTTTTAAATTTAATATTAAGTTATAAAATTACATATATTTTTAAAAATAGTTTTATTATTTCAAATTTATAATATTACCCTTTTTTATAAATCGATCTCGAACGTTTGATTTTTCAATCTTGAGATACTCAATTGACTCTTTAATTTTGATAAGAAGATGACTTATTATTTAAAAACTATTTTTTTAAAAGTTATTTTTTACTGAGTTTAAAAATATATATTTTTTAATTTAGTCTGAATTCAATATATTTAAATATAGTTTTTTTAAATAAATAAAAAAAAAAGATGATGAGGATTCATTGGGCTTCTAAATATTTATGGAAAAAATAACACAAAGTACATTTAAATTAGTACTTATTTTATTTATTTCTTAAATATATATAAAAAAGACTACCTCTAGGGGTTTAATCTTCTTTTTTTTCACCCACCTATATGGAGCACTGCACCCAATTAATCACCGCCGCACACACAAGCGAAATCCCAAAATTACCCCTGGAAATCAAAACACATAGGGGCAAAATCGTCTTTCTAAATATTATTTTCAAATTTTCGCTCCAAAACTGCCTTGCGGCTAAAAGTAAACATAATAAAACAATAAAAGCAAAAGCCCAAACACGCCCTAATCGTTCACTGTGCCCTAAAAAATAAAATAATAATTATAATTGTTAATTATTAATTATTTATTTTTTTCCTCCCTTCCCAAAACAAACCCACCACGTTTACCTCGGTAACAAAACTAACCTGGACCTCATCCTCGTATTTTCACGGATGAAGGTAATTAATGACGCAGTAAAAAAGGGGGGGGGGGAAATTAAATTAACTTGTCTACGAAATGTCGATTATACCCTTGGAACTGAGCTTGTTTCCCTTATGACGCCTACCCTTCAAATATAATAATATAATCCAAAGGGCTGAGGCCGCGTCAAGGGGATTTGTTATAAATAGGTTAAATTACGGAAAAGCCCCTACCTGAACATGGGCAATGCGTTAAATTACATAAAAGCCACTGCCCTAAAAGTTTTCACAATGTACGAAGTGCCCTTACAGGCTTGGTGGGTTTTTTATTTTTATAATTGTCTTTCCAAGGCAATAGGCTTGGACATGGCCCTGAAATCTTTGATTCTCCTTCCGCCTGCCCTAGGCTGGATGAAATTCCCATTTTACCCCTATGTCGTACTACTTTTATTTCGTTCGATCAAATTAAGTAAAGTTTGTTCGATAGATAAATCTTAGTCTTTATTGAGTTAATGACGTTAATAATAAAATTTATGATTCACCGCTTGTGAACCATAATTGATTTTACTTTCTCGCCGAGTTATTTAAAGGTTTGGAAGGATCTCGGTGGGAAGGTTACATTCGTCGTTTATGTTCTTGTGTCTGACGTAGTTAACTTAATTTTCTTTTGTCGTTTTGGGTGTTATTAATGGTTTCAGTTGTATCGATCTATTAAACTCTCTCAACCCGACTTGTAACCTTCTACGATTGTTTGAATTATTAAAGAGCCCAGATAGTTTATACGTTAGCGAGTTCAATTTAAAAGTTTTTGAATACGACTAAACTTATGTTTGACTTTTGTTCTTCTAAAAATAGTTCAATTTATAGAAGGACGAGAAAATTTGAAACCTGTTAGGTGTGTTGGATGAAAGTCCCACATCGTCTAATTTAGAAAATGATCATAAGTTTATAATTAAGGAATACTATCTCTGTTGATATGAGACTTTTTGGGGAAGCTTAAAGCAAGACCAGAAGAGCTTATGTTCAAAATGAACAATATCAATTATGGAGAGTTGTATTCATCTAACAAGTGGGTTGAAGCCAATACTTCCCTTAAACTCATTTTTTCACGGGTGCATAGGGCCTACAATAGACTCTATAAACGTTAAGAAAAGACATAAATACCCTTGAAAAAAATACAAATGTCACATAAAAATAGCCAGTAAGGTACATAGGGCCTAAAATAGACTCTATAAACGTTAAGAAAAGACATAAATACCCTTGAAAAAAAATACAAATATAACATAAAAATAGCCCGTAAAGTTATTGTGGAGAGTTGGGTTCATCTAACCGTGGGTTGAAGTCAGTATTTTCCCTAAGCTCATTAGTATCGGGTGTCGATAGCTAGTGAGAGAAATAAACTCATTTTTACTCGGGGCACCTATAGTCTAAATTAGACTCTATAAATGTTAAGAAAAGACATAAATACCCTTACAAAAAATACAAATAGTGCCCAAATAAGCTGATGACTGCAGCAAAATAAAGTCATGATTGTTTTCAATTTAAAAACAATAAATAGAGAAAGAAGTTGGAATCCCACGTCTCGATAATATAGCATGCACTTGCACACTGCCCCCCTCTTCCTCTTTCTCTCTCACTCACATTTTTCCCCCATCCCATAAACGCCATTGAAGCAGTTCGACCAAGCTCCGGCAATAACACTCTCTACTTTCAACCACTTGCCATGGCTTCCATGGTTGAGGACTTTCCAGCTCCGGTTGTATCGGCTCGGAACTGAAGCGGTGGCCGCCGGCGATATCTCCAATTCCGGCTTCGGAGGGGGTAGGTTTCATGGTGAGTTACAGAGGCTTCGATGATGATCATTAATTGCTTTTGATTGATTTGAGGAAGTTTTTTTCCTCGAATAATATATATTTACCGTTCACATGCTGTATTGAGTCTGATTTAAGCATTCGTTCTATTTGATTCCACCATTGAGACCTCTTTCACATGGATTTTGTCACTGAGAGTGAGTGAAAATCTTTTATCCGCCATTGAAGCAAAGCAAAGCAACCACCGAGACGACGGCCATAGTTAACTTTATTCGTTTTCGAGGTCAAATCATTTTTTCCAGAGCTCTAATGGAGGGAGCAATCGATGGATTTCTTAAACGGTGTCTATTGTACTTCATGGCTATGTGCTTAACCTTAACAATGGAGAGTTCATTAGTTGCTTCTCTATCTCCCGATGGAGAAGCGCTTCTCTCTCTCGTATCTGCTGCTGGTCCTTCTGTTCTTGCCTCTTGGAATCCATCTAGCCAAAACCCTTGTTCTTGGGAAGGAATCACTTGTTCTCCTCAGAACAGAGTCATTTCATTATCTCTTCCTAAAACGTTCTTAAACCTCTCTGTTTTGCCTCCTGAGTTGTCTTCTTTATCTTCTCTGCAACTTCTTAATCTCTCTTCCACCAATGTATCTGGCTCAATCCCTTCCTCTTTTGGCCTACTCACTCATCTTCGCCTGTTGGACCTTTCATCCAATGATCTCTATGGTCCAATTCCTCCTCAGCTTGGTTCTCTTTCTTCACTTCAATTCCTTTTCCTGAATTCCAATAGACTTTCTGGTAAGATTCCTCCGCAGCTTGCTAATCTGGCTTCTCTGCAAATTCTTTGCCTCCAAGACAATTTGTTTAATGGCTCTATACCATCACAATTTGGTTCTTTGCTGTCTCTTCAAGAGTTTCGAATCGGAGGGAATCCGTTCCTTTCGGGAGAGATTCCGTCACAGATGGGGCTGCTTACTAATCTCACTACATTTGGGGCAGCGGCTACGGCGCTTTCAGGGGCTATACCGTCTACATTTGGGAACTTAATCAATCTCCAAACTTTGTCACTCTATGATACTGAGATATCTGGTTCAATACCTCCTGAGTTGGGGCTTTGTTCTGAGCTAAGGGATTTGTATTTGCATATGAACAAGCTCAATGGTTATATTCCTCCTCAGCTGGGTAGGTTGCAGAAGCTTACTAGTTTGTTTCTCTGGGGCAATGCTCTATCAGGGGCGATACCGTTAGAAATTTCAAATTGTTCGGCTCTAGTTGTCTTTGATGCGTCGGAGAATGATCTTTCTGGTGAAATCCCAAGTGATTTAGGGAAGTTGGTTGTTCTTGAACAGTTTCATGTATCGGACAATTCAATCTCGGGTGTGATACCGTGGCAACTAGGCAACTGCACAAGCTTGACTGCCCTTCAGCTTGATAATAATCAACTATCAGGTGAAATTCCACCAGAACTTGGCAATTTGAGATCCCTGCAAAGCTTTTTCTTATGGGGGAATTCTGTGTCAGGAACCATACCATCTTCCTTCGGCAACTGCACTGAGTTATATGCCTTTGATCTTTCAAGAAACAAGCTCACTGGGGTAATCCCAGAAGAAATTTTCAGCTTGAAGAAGCTGAGCAAGCTTTTGCTCCTCGGAAATTCTTTATCTGGCGGGTTGCCTCGAAGCGTCGCAAATTGTCAATCATTAGTGAGGTTGAGGCTTGGAGAAAACCAGCTTTCAGGCCAGATTCCGAAGGAGGTAGGACGGTTGCAAAATCTCGTCTTTCTCGACTTGTATATGAATCATTTTTCGGGTGGCCTTCCGCCTGAGATTGCTAATATTACAGTTCTTGAGCTACTTGATGTGCATAATAACTATATAACTGGTGAAATTCCTCCCCAGCTTGGGGAGTTGGTGAACTTGGAGCAGCTCGATCTCAGTCGAAACAGCTTCACCGGTGAAATTCCTGAGAGCTTTGGAAACTTCAGTTATTTGAATAAACTTATTCTCAACAATAATCTACTGTCAGGGTCAATTCCAAAGTCCATCAAGAACCTGGAGAAACTAACTCTACTTGATTTGAGTTACAACAGTCTCTCTGGTACTATACCACCAGAAATTGGTTACATGAAGAGCTTGTCGATCTGTTTGGACTTGAGCTCGAACGGGCTTACCGGAGAAATTCCCGAGGCGATGTCCAGTTTGACACAGTTACAATCACTTGATCTTTCCCATAACATGCTTTATGGAAACATTAAAGTGTTGGGACTCTTGACTAGTCTCACTTCTCTCAATATCTCCCACAACAATTTCTCAGGTCCTATGCCTGTAACGCCATTTTTTAAAACGCTACCACGAGATGCTTATGATCAGAACGTGAATCTTTGTAAATCACTCAATGGATTTACTTGTTCTTCGAGTTCGATGCGAAGAACTGGCTTAAAGTCTGTAAAAGCTGCTGCTTTGATTACCATCATTCTTGCTGCAGTTCTCATCCTAATTTTTGCGTTGTGGATAGTAGTTTCACGAAATCGCAAGTACATGGCGGAGAAACATTCCAGGACGTCGTCCCCTGCATCGGCTGCCGAGGATTTCTCTTATCCATGGACTTTCATCCCATTTCAGAAGCTCAATTTTACCATAGATAACATCTTGGAATCCATGAAAGACGAAAACATAATTGGAAAAGGTTGTTCTGGGGTTGTTTATAAAGCAGATATGCCAAATGGTGAATTAGTTGCAGTGAAGAAACTATGGAAAACGAAGCAGGATGAAGAAGCAGTTGACTCGTGTGCAGCGGAGATTCAAATTCTCGGGCATATTCGACATCGAAACATAGTGAAGCTCATTGGTTATTGCTCTAATAGAAGCGTCAAGCTACTTCTCTACAACTACATTTCCAATGGTAATCTACAACAACTCTTGCAAGGAAACAGGAATTTGGACTGGGAAACTAGGTACAAAATTGCAGTTGGGACAGCCCAGGGTCTGGCTTATCTTCATCATGATTGTGTGCCTGCAATTCTTCACAGAGATGTCAAGTGCAATAACATACTTCTAGACTCCAAATTTGAAGCTTATCTAGCAGATTTCGGCCTAGCAAAGTTGATGAACGCTCCAAATTATCACCACGCAATTTCAAGAGTAGCGGGATCATACGGTTATATAGCCCCAGGTAGATTTCCTTTTCTATTCATCGCTTGAATATCTTTACGGTTGAATTTGTTTCTAAAATTTTCCCAAACCAATGCAGAATACGGATATACCATGAACATAACCGAGAAGAGTGATGTCTATAGCTATGGAGTTGTTCTGCTAGAGATACTAAGTGGCCGTAGCGCAGTTGAGGCACGAGTTGGAGACGGTCTTCACATTGTTGAATGGGTGAAGAAAAAGATGGCAAGCTTCGAGCCTGCTATATCTATACTCGACGCAAAGCTCCAGGGCTTACCAGATCAGATGGTTCAAGAAATGCTTCAAACACTTGGTATAGCCATGTTTTGTGTGAACTCCTCTCCAGCAGAAAGGCCAACAATGAAGGAAGTGGTAGCATTATTGATGGAGGTGAAGAGTCCTCCAGAAGAATGGGGCAAAACCTCCCAACCTCTAATAAAGCAGTCCTCAAATTTAAGTTCAAATAATTCTTACTCATCCACTAGAAAATTGGGGTGAGAATTGAGGGAAATGCTTGAAATAGAGAGATCTTTGTGGCATCTAATTGAACTCTGCAATCTTGTACAGCTTTTGTTTAATGGAAGAGATCAATTCATTTGGTCACAGTCTATCGACATTCGAAATATTTTTAACGAACTTGTTATCAATCCCATATGTCATTATCAATATATCGACATTTGGTCCATATATTAGTTAACAAACCTGTCTATCCACCTCATATATTTTAACAAGACGATACCGACTTGTCGATATGCAACAAAGCAGATTCTAAACATATTTCAAAACGAACTAAAAACTTGATATTTGTTATTATTATCAACCCCATATATTATTATCAATATATCGAGATTTCATCCATATATCCACCCCGTATATTTTAACAAGACGATAACTACTCGTCCATATACAACTAAGCAGATTCTAAACATATTTCAAAGCAAACTAAAAACTTGGTATTTGTTACTATTGTTATTATCAATATATCGACATTTCGTCTATATATTAGTTAATGAACCTCTCTATCCACCCCATATAATTCAACGAGACGATACCTATTCGTCGATATGCAACTAAGCAGTTTCTAAACATATTTCAAAACAAACTAAAAACTTGGTATTTGTTATTATTATTGTAATCGATCCACAAGATGGGCACCTGAAATAAAGGGGAGGAAGTCCTTGGCAGTGATATTCCAGATTTCCAACATGTGTAGTGTGGCGTAGTAGGCCACATCTTGCAGGGAAAAAGCAGACAAGCTGTGGAGGGCATGCTTCTCTTACTTTGAAGGGCACATGCTTCAGAAGACAAATCTTGTCTCCTCACAACCTACAATACCCTTCATCATATCCAGCACCAAGTCAAAAAAGAGGTCAAAAAGATGCAAACCCTATTATCATTCATATTCTATTTCATGATTTTGGTCAACTTTATTTCTTTTTCCATGTTAGTTCTTCCATTATCAAAATATCAAGATTAATCCCTTCTCTTTTCTTGAATTCTAAATGCAATAATAGATGGAATATAACATATAGTTAATAAACTATGTTTATATTACACACATTCATGAACATAAAAACAAGATTTCTATGACAGAGACCAAACAAGAAGTCAGGGATGAAATTGAAGCTTTAAGGAATTAGTGATCCAAATGAACATGGGTAGAAGTTATGAGACCAACTATGAAACTATGAGTAAGAGTTTAGAGATCAAAATCATACTAATAACATTGAAAGCAATGAAAAATGTACCAAGAAAGTGAGGGAAGTTTGAAAAATAATGAAGTACATAATGCAGATAATGAAAAGTTATGTGATCTTTAAGAATGCCCTTCAGAATCATTCCACAAAAGCTAAGATAATGCTATAATGACCACTGCTAAAAGTTGTAGATAACATATGGAACCACCACAGATATCAACCTTTTCCAACCATGTGCAAAGGGCATAATAAATGAGTGATATCATAAAAATGCATCACCCCTTTCCTCCTTTTTGAATGGTTCCTCCACTATATAAATCAGATTAAGAGACAGAGAACCTAAATCTTCCACAGACTATATACAACTCTTGGGACCTTTTTACCCAAACATTTTAGAACTTCCCAATCATACCTGATTAACAACTTCTTAAAGTTCATAATCTGTAAAGAATTAAAGATGAGATTCACCTCAGTCCATATAAACTAAGGAACTGCAGCTTTACGACTTCGACGAAAGTATTAAAATCATCACCTGAAAGAAGTTCCTAAAGTTCATATAGCAGTTGGGCATCAGGCTATAATTCCAGCATCTAGAACATTTAAAAGTTCAAGCTATTAAACAGGAAATTGATTCCATCTATCCAGGAGAGAGGTATAAAGGCTGCAACACTCAAAAATTTTAAGTCTATACATGGTTTTCTTATTGTTTTTGAAAAGAAATGAGATTTTATCGAGGGTGATTAGTAAAACGAAAGAAGTGTTTTTGTGCAAAGGAGCATATAAAAAACTACTTTGGTTTAGAACTTCAAATTTTGAGAAAGTTTCCATTTTACAAGCACAAGAGAACTCTAATACCAATGCAACTACAGTCAATATCAATGAAATATGGTTTCCTTCTCAAAGAAAAAAGAAAAGAGCTATGCCTTTCAACCCCATCAAGTCCGAAAAAGAGGAAGCCATGTGATGTCCCACATTGGTTGGGGAGGAGAACAAATACCCTTTATAAGGGTGTGGAAACCTTCCCCTAGCAGACGCGTTTTAAAGCCTTGAAGGGAAGCCCGAAAGGAAAAGCCCAAAGAGGACAATATCTGCTAGCGGTGGATCTTGGGCATTACAAGCCAGAAATCAATCACATGCATAAAATTATAAATCACTGGGTCTACAATAAATATAAGCAGTATAAAATTGAATTTGTGCAAAAAGTTGGTGCAATAATTTATAAAAGAAACACACGTTAGAAGATGGAAGAGAATCTTAACCACACGTTAGAAGATGAAAAAAAAATGAGGACTGATAACTCCCCAGAGATTTCCTTCTGTTCCTCCATACAAGGAAATTGAAAGGAAAAAAAAAAAAAAAAAGTCCATTGAAGGTATGCCATTGAAAGTTAAAACTTCTAAATATGTCCATGTTAACTTCTTCCCGACAAGTAGATCTTAGTTACCCGCTTACTAGAACCTGCAAGAAGCTTTTCTTTGCTCTTATCACATCCTTTATTGCAAAAAAAGTATGTCGGAGAAAACTCCAAAATTAGGGCTCCAAAAAGCTTACCTCAAATCTTTCGATGAGATTCAGCAGGCAGTGTAAGCTACATTTTATGGTTGTAAGTTGTCAGGAGCGTATGGTATATCCTATCGACATTCTGTTCTAAGTTCAATGAATACCTCCTAGTTCATTTTGCTACATACACATCATCTCCCTCAGTTTCATGTATAGTCCCCATCAAATCCACCTTTCTTTTGTTTGGGCGGCAATCAAATTATTCGGTATGGTCCTTCAAAAAGGTTCTGACCCAGGCTGCTAGAAAATTCAGGAAGCAAACTGTCTAAAGTTGTAGCAAACCAATTGGTGGATGAATGTTTAACTTGTAAAGCAGATCCAATTACATGGTGTTGTAATTAGAAATAACAAATATTGATCTTCGATCCTTTATTCTTCAAATGTGTTTTAATACTATTCTTAACTGTCTCGTAGAAAGATACCAAAGCAAAGTTAGCAGTCTCTTGTCTTCCATTAGGAGCTTAGATGAGAGATGACAGGGTTGTAACGACCCAAGCCCACCTCTAGCAAATATTGTCCTCTTTAGAGTTTTCTCTTCCGAGCTTTCCCTCAAAGTTTTAAAAACGCGTTTGCTAGGGGGAGGTTTCCACACTCTTATAAAGAATGTTTGTTCCCCTCTCCAACCGATGTGAGGTCTCGCAGCTGACATATGGAAGATTCTTATGACAGTGTAATTGGAGGAGTCTTTGTGGAGTGATCCCTCTCCATCACAGGCACATCAAGAAAAAGAACACCTATTGGCCAATTTTTCTACAATCTACAATTTATGGACAAGTCCAGATGAAACTTATCTGCCTTGCAGCAAAGTGATTCAGACAATCCAGCAGCATGGAAACTAGTGTGTTCCAGTTTTCCAGAGGATAAGGTCTAGCATGGCCCTTACTATGAACGGTCAAATATACAAGACGAGAACATGACTAAGAACATGTCACACACACACACACACACGTACACACGTGTAAAACAAAGCTAAAGAAATCTTGCAAGACCAAGATATACAGTTAGGAACCATGCCACCTTCTAGAACTAATATAAGGTAACTATTAATATGATAGCAGTAAATTGAATCTTATTCCTGTCTTTACCCTAGCTTGGATCATAAAGTTAAATAAACTTAATTTAGTTTGCACAGGAATCTTGTCACTGGTAATAAAAATTGCAGCAGAGGAAGATCAATATCAAACAGACTAGTTCTACTTCATTTATGACTAAACCTTAGCCTTAAACACTAATGACACTTTTATGATCCCTAGCCCACAGGAGTCTCACTACTGATGATGAAGGCAATGCAAAGACTAGGCCCTTCTCCCTTCAATGTGCTGCCATTACAAAAATGAAGAGGAATCTTCAGACCACGTCTTTCTTCACAGCGGCTTCATTAAACAGCAATGGAGGCGATTCTTTGCGATGTTTGGTATTACTATTTGTGTAAAGGCCCAAGCCCACCACTAGCAGATATTGTCCTCTTTGGACTTTCCCTTTCGGGCTTCTCCTCAAGGTTTTTAAAACGCATCTGCTAAGGAGAGGTTTCCACACCCTTATAAAGAATGTTTCGTTCTCCTCCCCAAACGATGTGGGATCTCATAATTTGCCTTCCCAAAAAAGTTGACGAATCGCAGTTAGAACCTTAATAAGAAAGCTAAGGTCCCGTGGGGTTCGTATAGATAGATAGATAGATAGATACTCTGCATTTCCGCATCTTAAACTCCAAAAAGCAAGAAATTTGATCGCCAATCAAACAAAATTCCCACAAAATGCAGAATCAAATGCACCATGAAGTGCGAAATGAGATGTCTATAGTATAGCTATAATGCTTTCATGGGTAGTTCAATCCTCAATAACAAAACGATAATCAAGATTTAGCACCATCAAACCATTCAGAATAAACGTCAAATTGGAAAAATGAAAAGGAAAAGGAGGTAGGTTCGAACTAAACTCCTTCCTTTAGCAGTAGTGTCATTTCTCGAGGAAGAAACAATTAAACAAGTTCCCACACGCCATTCCTAACCCTAGAGCTGAGTTATTAACGCCAAACTTGCTTACAATGTCACAAGCAGCAATCAGGCAAGAAAATGAATGGGAGATTGGATTATGTTTAAAATTGGGAAGAACAAAATGAAATACATGAACCTCAATTACTCGTCAAGCTGTTGAAGCTCAGCCTTCAACTGCTCAATCTTAAGCCCCATGGACCTCTGCAACGCCTTCCTCTCGTTCTCGCACAATTTCGCAAGAAGCCCCTCGTACATGTCTAAAACTTCCTTCACAGCATCCCGAGCACACTCGGCCTCTTCATTAAAATAAACGGTCTCTTTAGACTCCATAGCCGACTCTATCTCTTCTCTCGCTTCAGCAAACTTGAGATTGATCCTGTCCACCTCTCTAATCTGATCAAACTCCGGCTCCGAGTTGCCCGAACCACCACTGTACCTCCTCAACCACTGAAGAGTTACAAACTGACGATTCGACCTCATTACATACGAAAAATGGAGATCATCTGGTCGCAATTTGTAAGGAAACTCAGAATTTGGCAACAGAGAAGAGTCCAGAATTCGACGAACGCTACACGAAGATGAAGAAGTAGAAGCCTGAGATTTTCCAGCAAGCAATCTGCAGAGTGAAAGGCGTAATCGAGGGCTCATTTTTTCGCAATTTCTGGATATTACGAACAAGGGGGCCAAGGAAATCACGGTCCAGTGAGAAAATGAAGCATGAAGGGTGGAAGCATCAGTTCAGCGACAGTGAAATAAGGGTTTTACACGTCACTGAGGACTTGTTTGGTACGGATTATAGAATTCCAAACCAATTTTGAGATACTAAATAAATAAAAACAAATTTATATTTCAAAAATTATTAAGATCCTTAAAATAAAAAATATCTTTAAGTTAATTTTGGATGAAATAACACTTTATTTAAAAAATATAGATTTTTTAAATTTTATAATCAGACTTTTTTTTAGTTGAATCAATCATTTATTTATTTTATATTTTAAAAATTAACCTTAAAAATAAAATTAATACCTTATTTATCGAGATATAATAATTAGATTGAACTCATTTTTAATTATATCTTCTAAAAAAATAATATATCTCGTATTAAGAAAAAAATTATTAAAAATTTAATTTCTAGCCTCATAATAACGGTTATAAATTCTTTAAAAAAAATTAACCTAAATTAGTGAGACAAAGAATAGAGTGGAATAAAAAATTACACAGATTATTTTCTTAATAAAAATACGGGAAGGATAAAAACGCATTTTCAAAATTTGTAGAAAATATTTTAGAAATTCCCTAAAATTTGAAAATCTGAGTAGATCCAACTTTCTATTCACTTGTGAGATCCAGACAGTCTCGAGACTACCTTAGCTCCTCTCTTCTTGGGGATCCATACATTCCTCCTCATCAATATGAACAACTATTTCCCGAGACAAGTTTAGATACCTTTGACAAACACAATGTCAAACGGTCAGTTTGGTCACTAATCTAACCGTACCGAGTTATTAAATTTAAAATAGTACATGTATTATATAATACAATAACACAAATATATAATAAAAACAACATTTAATTATTGGACATGCATCCAAAATCATGAAAAAGATTATAACTCCGTCAAGAGTTGTTGGATTAATAAATTAATGCAAAGTTAATCAGAAGCAGAGATGAGTGGAGAATGGTCACCAAACCACAAATCAGGTCAACAAAACCTCCAAAACCAACGGCCCCACTTACCCAACGTTGTATAAATACCTGTTGCCTTCAAACTAGCTTTCAGATTTCCCCAAAATGGCAAGGCAACTACAAATGATGATGCATTCTTCACAAGCCACAGCTCAGGTTGGCATGGCTGGTGCGAGCCTTCTCTTGTGTGCTTTTGCATTGTTTATGTGTGCTTCCCACGCTCGGAAATGGCGTCATCGCTGGAATGCTTGCTTGGATTATGGCTATGAGTTTGAGGATCCTGTAATAGAGCTTAACCAAGAAGCGACAGTCGTGACTACGCAACGAGTGAATACCTGTGTTGTGAATGCCCCCGAGCCGGAGAATGGCAACGACGAGATGTTCTTCAGCAGAGAGCAACGAGCTGCTGTGTGGGAGAAGAACATACTCATGGGTGGGAAGTGTCAGCTACCGGACTTCTCGGGCGTCATATTATACGACTCCAATGGAAACGTCGTAACCCCTGCTAGAACTCAGCTTCCTCTACTCACCTGGAAGTGAAGAGAAACATTGACAATCACAGACAAAATATGATCTCAGAATCTACCTTTTCATTTGTTTTTCTGTCCGCTCCCTAAGAACTCGCCATTTTATGCAGCCTTGTATCTTTCAAACCCCTGGAATGTAATCAATCTTGCAATGAAATGATAATTTTATCACCAAAAACACAAAAACAACAGCCCATTCGTATTCAGTCTTTCAAAGTTACGTGCAATCGCGTGAAACAAGTCGATATCAAGTTTTAAGTTCTATTTGTGGACACACGAAGTGACTCGACCGCATCCGCAAGTTTACATTTCAGAGTATCTGGAGATTCCATAAGATGGAACGCCTCTTCTTCCTCGATTTCAAGAAGCATAGCAGCAATCTCTCCTCCATCGCTTCGCTTAAGAGACTCCACAAGGGACGAATGTTGTTCGTGCAACATCTATAATTTATACGACAAATTATTAACTCGGAGAAAAAGTTTCATGAACCAACCCGTGTGTATCGATGCACAAAATTTTATATCTGGTAACGAGGCAAAGTAGAGTAAATAACCTTAATCAACGTCGAGGTGACCACAACAGATTGACACTTTTGATTGCAGTGTCTTGATGTAGATTGTTTTACTGAAGTTAAAATCTTTTTAATGTTGGGGCCAAAGCCTAGATCGAACATTGTGTCCAACTCATCCAATACCTGTTTCATAAGAACAATATAAAAAATCACAATCTTGATGGTTTCCTGAGAATATGAACCCAGATATCGGTATAATTTCTGTAACGACCTAGATCCACTGCTAGAAAATATTGTCCCTCTTTGGGCTTCCTTTCAAGGCTTTAAAACGCGTCTGCCAGGGGAAGGTTTCCACACCCTTATAAATGGTGGTTTGTTCTCCTCCCCCAACCAATGTGAGACATCACAATCCACCCCCTTCGGGGCCCAGCGTCCTCGCTGGCACTCTTTCCTTCCTCCAATCGATGTGAGACCGCCCCAAAATCCACCCTCCTTTGGGGCCCAGTGTCCTTACTGGCACACTGCCTCGTGTCTACCCCCTTCGGGGAACAGCGAGAAGGATGGCACATCGTCCGGTGTCTGGCTCTGATACCAATTTTAACGACCTAGATCCGCTACTAGCAGATATTGTCCTCTTTAGGCTTTCCCTTTCGGGCTTCCTTTCAAGGCTTTTAAACGCGTCTGCTAGGGGAATGTTTCCACATCCTTATTAAATGGTGGTTTGTTCTCCTCCCCAACCAATGTGGGACATCACAGTTTCGTATCTAAATTAGCAACCTAGCATATTTTAAGCAGAAATAACTGAAAATTATAGCAGATTATCAAAAATAAGAAGGGTCAATCCTAGAAGATGTGATATCTGCGGCTTAAACAGAGCAAGGAACAGTTTATTCTTTTCAATTACTGTCCAAGAAAACTTCAGATAAAATTTATTTTTAGAGATGTAGTATGAATAGTTGACAGCATACCAAGTACTTGATTTCATCCGAAACCACGCTCCCGTCTTCAATGAGTTCAGAGACCTCATTAGGGGTGCCGATTAACAGGCCGATCGAGACATCCGATGCACCATTCTGAAGTTCTAATTGACCAAAACCATTGTCCTTTGCAGTTTTCAACTGCTTGTAATTGCTGATGAACTTCGCCATCTGAAACACCTGCAGGGTGATATTCTTATGTCAACCAAACTGTAGTTGGACTTAACATCTTATTCATGAAGGTCTGAAAGCGATACCTCGTCAGATAGCTCCGTGGTTGAGCACATAACGAAGGCTCGAGGATGCTTGGACCTTACACCATTTGTTTTTGCATCTCTTTTTAGATTCTAATAAGAGCCAATTGTAGACATAACAATGGGGGAAAAGATCATGAAAGTGAACAAGCATTTTAATTCTGTACTTTATTCAAATCTAGATGGAATTTGGAATATTAAAACATTCCAAATGCAAATCAAATAAAAGGCACGGTGAGGAGAGTGAAAATCTCTTTGGACTTTCGCTTTCAGGCTTCCCTCAAAGTTTTTAAAATGCGTCTACTAGGAAGAGGTTTCCACACCCTTATAAAGAATGTTTTGTTTTCCTCCCCAATCAATGTGAGATTTCACAATCCACTCACCTTCTAAGTACAGCGTCCTCGCTGACAATCGTTCTCTTCTCCAATCAATGTGGGGACCTCCCAATACACCCCCTTCGAGGTCCAGCGTCATTGCTGGCACATCGCATTGTGTCCACCCCATTAGGAGCTTAGCCTCCTCGCTGGCACATCACCTAGTGTCTGGCTTTGATACCATTTGTAACAGTCCAATCCCACCGCTAACAAATATTGTTCTCTTTGGCATTTCCCCTCTAGGTTTTTAAAATACGTCTGCTAGGGAGAGGTTTCCACACTCTTATAAAAAATGTTTTGTTCTCCTCCCAACCGACGTGGGATCTCATCACATTATATCATCGATTAAAAGCGAAACGGTTGAAAGTTCAAATTTCCATCTATATGTCGTTCAACTGAACAAAGGTCCAGGATCTCCAATGTAATTTCTTCCTTATATCATATTAATCTTCCACATATGGAGCCTCATTAGTCAAATTAATATTGAAGCACACAAAATTCAAATGCACATGTTCCAAAACATATTTAAAATTAGAGTAGCCTATACTTTTAATCTGTTCTAATCAAGAAATGGTCAAACAGTAACAGACATCTCCATCAAATACACTTTTGAATGATATTATGAACTCAACGCCATCATAAATTCATTAAGTGCCAAAGGATAATTAGATTCAAATTGATAAAAGAAGAAGAACCTGAATGAGAGGCAACAAGTAAGCTAAAGCCCTTTCTGGTCCATAAAGAGATCCCAATACCACATTCTTCCCTTCCAAAAGAGCTGGAATCCCTACACAATGCAACTCAGAAGGAACAAAGAATCCCATCCCTTCCGCAGCCTCCGCCACTTCATTATAAAGCCCCAACTCCTTGAAACCTGTCATCACCTTCTCACCTCCGTTCCCACTCCCTTTCACAGCAGAGTTAGAACTCAATGATTCTCTCGAGATATTCGACGAGCCTTTGAGTTTCCTGTTCCTGAACTTTTCAAGAAGCATCGCTTCTCTGTCCGTTCGTGGCGGTCGATCATTCTCCGTTGTTAAGGTTCTGGAGAAGGAAGAGGAAAAATATCGAGAAGCTAAGAAAGCGTTCGTGGAGTTTACCGGATTGTGGAAAACGTTCCCTTTCGTTGGACATGAGAGGCTGTTCACATAGTGGTAGAGCTCGAGAAGAGCTTTCCTTCTACTTCCCATGGCGGTGCTGCTCGGCCGTTCAACCTGCCTCTGGTTCAATTGTTAGGTCACGTATTTCAAATTTCGTAAGTTACCGATATTTATCGTTCATTTTTAGTCAATTTATTAAATTTGATTTTGGGGCGAAATTACATTTATTTTCTTAAAAAATCAATAATAGTATTTTCTTTTAAAAATTACATTTATTTTCTTACATTTTATATTAGGTAAAATTACATTTACTAGGCGAAATTAAAAAGAATTTTAAATTTGAAGCGAAATAAACGATTTGATATTCATAATATATTTCTTTTAACAATGATATTCATAATATATTTTTTATTTTTAAATTGTATGTTGATTTCTTCTTAATTAATTTATTATGATAAATAAAAAAAATCTTTCAATTTTCAAAAACTTAATTTTAAAAACAAACTCATAAGTGAAAGTAGTATTCATAAAATAATAAATAATAAATAAAATAAAAATAAAAACAAAAACAAAATAATTAATACAGATACTTGAAACTAAAATAAATATAGTTCAAACCCATTATTTTAAATGATCAAAATAAAAATAGAATTATCTAAAAAAAATTGGGATCAAATGAGATTTAAACTAAAAAAAACTATTATTATTGTTATAATACAAATAATTATTTGAACATTCATTGATATCATCATCATTTCCAATGCTTGGATGAAAGAATTTTATAAGGCAGCCCTAATGGTGGATTTTTCGCTCTAACAATTCGTTTCCGTCTATCAAAACAACTAAAAATGTTTCAAAAAAGGTCGACATGTCACGAACAAAAAGTTCGAACCCTTCTTTATCTTTAAAAAGAGGGTGGCCTGACCACCAAACAGCTATTCCATCGCCATTGTTCATGAAACCTGCTCTGAATAATCCACCTTTTCCGGGATTATTCCCGGAGCTAATTTTTCAGGAATTTTAGACCAAGCTTCTAATAAAATTTGATTTTCAGCTAGCTGGGTCCTAAGAGTCGAAAATAAAGAAACAAACAAGTGCACCAAATTTCACAAAGGCTCTCAAAAGAGTAAAAGAAGAGATTCAAGAACTGGCTCAAAATTCAGTATCATTTGCTGCTATGTCTTGCTTTTCCAAGGCATAGCGATGCATGTGGGGAGGGTTGATGGGTAGATACTCAAAACATTGCAATTTCAACACTAAAAAGACAGCAATTAAGCAGTAAATTAGAATGCTTCCCTTACAGAGAGGTTGGATTTAATCATTCACTGGTAACATTCAGGCTTCAAAACGCCAATATATGGTAAATTTCTGTACAGTTCTGCAAAGTCCATTCCGTAGCCCACGACAAAGTAATCTGGACACTGCTCAAAACAAAACCATCTAAGAAATTAGAATCAAGTAATGGCAACCCAAGAATGTGAGATTGGTGATTGTGGCGCTTTCATTTATCTATTGGTTGGAAAATAGTCATGAAATCTTCGATATGAAGAAAAAAGATAGATAGTGTTTGTAGTTAACTTGTAACAGCCTGAACCCACCGCTAGCAGATATTGTTCTCTTTGGGCTTTCTCTTTCGGGTTTTTCCTTTCGGACTTTCTCTCAAAGTTTTTAAAATGTGCCTGCTAAGGAGAGGTTTTCATACTCTCATAAAAATGCTTCATTCTCCTCCAAAACCGATGTGGGATCTCACAATTATTTGGCTTTTTCTTTTCGAAAATTAGGCTAAAAACACTACTTTCGCCTCATGAGTTTCTTTGGTTTTCGAAAATTGAAGCCAGTTTTGAAACCAAAAAATGAGAAAAACAGAGAAATGTTCTTGTTGTTTTGGAATTTGATTAGGAATTCAAATGTTTTTCTTCAAAGAAATTGTGAGAAAGCAAGCATAAATTTCAAAAACTAAAAACAAAATGGCTAAATAATCCATTTCAACTTACTTCAAACCCATGGTAGAACTTTCCTTCACCGACTAGCTGAAAATGAACCTTTCGTCTAGTTGGTTTATCAAGAAAAGTGCATACTGATACAGATGAAGCCCCTTTTGCCTCCATATGAGCAAGGAGACATGATAAAGTATTTCCAGAATCTACAATATCCTCAACCTAAAAGGAGATTCATTATAAAAGTCAAGAATATGCTAAATATGCTTTACAAGAATTATGGGAGCAATGAATCATTCTCAATGGACAAGTATCAGTAAACTAGTATTTGTATCAACAGTAACCCATATCAAATACAGAAAGACAATCACTCTATTAAATGCTGACACAAAAGAAGAAACACATGTTCTTGAAGAACATAAAGACCATGAAAGAGAGGCCCACCTCTCAAGGAGATTTAACTGAGTAGAATAGCGAAGGGCAGATTAGCTAAAGGCATGAACATTCATATTTTTTCTGTTTAATCCAAATGGGCAATCCTCCTGTTTTGACAAGTTCTTGAGAAAATCGGTTTATAACTTCATATTTTTTTAGAGGAATCAAATGGTTTTGTTAACAGCTCAAAGGATACACTAGGGGTTGCCTAGAATTCCACCCAAAGTCAAGAACAGTACAAATAGACCTCCCAATGCTAAGAATCGAAAAGAAAATAAAAATCTAAGATTCAGAGCTCCTTCAAAGAGGAAAACAAGGACTAAGTCATAATTTCTCTCTTCAAATATATACTCGATCCTGATCAGATTAATTTTTAGATGGAGAGAGTGACAAATTTTATAGTCTTTTATGAAGTTTTTTTAAAGTGTTCATATCAGTAAGGTTCATATAATTGTTCCAAACCAACATTGATCTGGAGTATGATCTTAACCTCGATTAACTTTTAATCGGACCGTACTCTTTGCCTTATTTCATGGATTGAAAAGTACTTTCAAATCTATGCCAAATTTGATGAATTCAGAATCTAATTTCAATAACCCTATTTTCTTTCCCACCCGAGTAGTAAAAACCTGGCATGCAAAACTTCCTAAAAAAGAATACCCACATTTGAACAGAATCTACCTTTACCAGAAACTCCACCAAGCATCAGCGATTCAGTATAGAGGCATGAAGCGAAGAAAAGCACCGAAAAAGGAAGTCCAAGGCCACCACGTAAGCCGGAGTAGTTAGGCAAAAAATCAAACAAAAAATACCAAGAATGACAGAGAAAGGCCCCTTGTGCCACCGGGAATCCGAGTTTGAGTTGCTGACTTAATCAAGGAGAATAAGTGCGGCACAGTCACTTAGGGCGCAGGAAGAGAAAAAGGAAAATCCAAACACAAAGATTCAATGGCGTATTAGGCGAAAACATAGACGGAGCGAGAAAGATAGAAGGCAAATACCAGAATTACGTGCTTGTTCTTGACATCCACTTTCAAGTCCGACGAAATTCTAGGAGAACCATTAGACTCAGTACCAACACCGTAAGATTCGACCCGAACAGAGTCGAGAGTGATTGGAAGATTGATGAGACGGACCAAGTCAGCCAGGAAGATGAAGGCTCCAGTGGCGACGCCGACGATGACCGGCGGCGAAGAGGTTTCAGAGAAGTCGGCAGAGATTTGGGAGGCGAGGTCGGCGACTCGAGCCGAAATCTGGTCCTGGTTCCAGAGCACTCTCTCAATGTGAGAATGGAGTGCCATGAACGACGATAGGGATCGGCGCAAAGTTGGTCTGTTCTAAAAATGAGTCCTCCCTGTAAATCTTAATTTAATTTAAACGTTTTTTTTTTGTTTAATTTACAAAATAGTAATTTGGTTTTCTTTCAAAGTTTCATCTTCTTACCTTATTAGTAAATATTAATTATCCTTGGAACTTACCATTTGAACGGTCACCTTTTAAACTAAGTAATATAATAAGAAATTAGGTAACTCAATTTTCACGGACCGGAACAATTAAGTAAATACAAAAATCTAGATAAGTGAGTCATCATCGACTTGAACAATTAAATAAACACAAAAAACTAGGCAAATGAGTCCTCACCGACATGGACGATTAAGTAGACATAAGAAACTAGGCAAATGAGTCCTCACCGACTTGAATGATTAAGTCGATATAAGAAACTAGACAAGTGAGTTCTTACTGACATTAACGATTAAGAGATATAAGAAACTAGGCAAATGAGTCCTCGCTGACATGGACGATTAAGTAGACATAAAAAACTAGGCAAGTGAGTCCTCATCGACTTGAATGATTAAGTCAATATAAGAAGCTAGGCAAGTGAGTTATTACCGACATTAACGATTAAGGGATATAAGAAACTAGACAAGTGAGTCCTCGTTGACTTGAACTAAGAAACTAGACAAGTGAGTCCTCGTTGACTTGAACGATTGAGTAGAGATAAGAAACTGGATAAATGAGTTTTTACCGACTTGAACGATTAAGTAGATGTAAGAACTAGGCAAATGGGTTTTTACCGACTTCAACGATTTCAACCACCGAGCAAATATTTTATTAGGTAGACAACATCGTTAGGGTGTATTATTAAATTTAACTATGAAGAAATGCACTCGAAATTGGACGGCACCGTCTTGTGTAATATAATGATAAATAGACTTCTATAATTTATGAGACAGGAGATTCATCTAACTAAAATAGTCATTTTAAATATAACGTAATAATAAGTATATAATATATAAATTAAACTTTATACATTGATAAATTTGACAATTTATACCTTATTATAGGCTTGATTTTTTTTAATAAATAAAATAGCGAGATATTTTTACCATTTTTTTAATAATTTGAAGTTACCATGATTGACCTCGGGAGCATTGATGAAAACCCTAATTGAATGGCCCATGAGTTTGAATATGAGCCTGAAACGAGAAGCCCATCTGCTAAAATTGGCCACGAACGAGACAGGGATGGCCCAAATTTCAAAAGGAATTTGGCGCCAAAATTTCCCGTGGATTCCTTCAAATTGAAACACAAACAAACACAGAAAAATCGAATCAAAATCTGTAAAAGTAGGGCATGTCGACGATCTATCTTCATCGTCGTATGGTGTTACCAGTTCTCTTATCTGTGGATCTTCATCGTCACTGATCTCGTTTCGTCTCTCTCTGTTTCTCATTTCCTTCTGTGTTTCTCTCTGTAATTTCTGTAATGGCGGTGGTTTCGATTTAGGTGAAGAAGCAGCGGAGGAGCGGGAATGAGTGGATCTATCTTCATCGTCGTATGGTGTTACCAGTTCTCTTACCTGTGGACCTTCATCGTCACTGATCTCGTTTCGTCTCTCTCTGTTTCTCATTTCCTTCTGCGTTTCTCTCTGTGACTTCTGTAATGGCGGTGGTTTCGATTTAGGTGAGAAGTGGCAGCGGAGGAGCGGGAATGAGTGGATCTATTCAGCGTGCAACGAGGAACAATCGATGCAGAAGGTGTTTTGCTCACGCACCTATTGGGGAAAGACATCTGTAAATTCGAACAGAGCTTCAATATGTATTAGCAATATGCGGATGAACAGACGGAAGTCGATGAGATACTGGATGGAAGAATTGTTGACGAAGATCAGATTGCCGGCAGTGTGAGGAGAAAAGGACGCAGTGGTCGGAGTGAGTACCTTGATTTGGAAGAAGATCACAGCCAAAGTGGAGGAAACGAACGAGAAATAGGTCACGATTTTGTAAATAGCCATCAGCCATTCACGCCTCAAAATGGAGAACAGGCGTTTCAGCATTCGAGCTCCAAAGGTTAAACTATGAGTATGATTCTAATACTTGCAACTTTCCAACACAAAAAGTTGAGCAAAAACAGTCGTAAATTTGTAGATGACGTTCAAATCTCCGAGTCGCCATTGAAGATTCAAGCATCAGAATGGAGAGTAAAGGCATCTCGAAAGATCGACAAAAAATGCAAGAACAAGAAGTTGCATATTAGTGAAGGTAAGAGGGCCTTCTTCCAAGTAGAGTGAATACTTAACCGAAGAAGACAACGGCGGAGCCAGAGATGAAGAAAATATGGCAACAGAACAGAGGGAATGGCATGGACATCTTCAAGACTATCATTTCAAATGACAATGACTTCGAGCTCCGAAGGACGAGCTATAAGAACGCTTTCCAATGGTTGAAAATAGTAGAAAGGTTGTAATCACAAAAGAATTTCCTTCTACTATACCTCGGAGGGAAGCAGTGAGCTCTACATTTCTACTGAAAGAATTTATAGAAGAAAACTGTGAGATCTCGTATCGATTGAAGAGAAGAATGGGTCAACGAGGATGTTGGACCTTGGAGGAAGGTGGATTGTGAGATACTATTGGATGGGGAGGAGAACGAAATATTCTTTACAAAGATATGGAAATCTCTCCCTAGCAGATATGTTTTAAAAACTTTGAGGGAAAGTTCGAAAGAGAAAGCCAAAGAGGAAGTGTCTACTAGCGATGAGCTTGAGCTGTTACAAAAACAATCATTGATTCCTTTCTAACCATACGTGCCACATCAATGCCCTAGACACGACCACAACAAACTAGCCCTTTTGGGCATCCTCCAACCCGACAAAGCTTCGAAGAGCCAATTGTCGATGGAAGGCAAACGACCGCTCACCACAAAAATATTCATTGCTAAAGGATCATAAATATATGTTCCCATAGTACCTGAATCAGAGAGGGGCAAGTTCTTTCAAATATCCTGCAACTGAAACCTTTCAATTTCGGACTCCTCGATATCATGCTTGGATTTAGCATTAATATCGCACCCGAGATGACCGATGACCGATGACCGATGGTCATCAAGACAGCCATGAATCTTGAGCAATAATAATAATATGAAATAGACTCAAAATATTAGCAAAAGCAAACATATGAAACCATAGTTTAAAAAATCCAAAAGGAAGGAATCTGTCATCAAAGGTTGAACAAAATCAAACAAAATTCTAAAGCATTCAAAACTAGAATTAAATAAAATATAGCTGCCCGTCAAGACCCTGCAAAAAATAGACAATAACCTAGACAGTTATGGAAGGAAGATAAAAAGAAAAGGAAAGGATAAACCCCAAACCACACATACGTTCACCGCGCAGAATAAAGAATGCTTGAAGGAAAATTGATGACCCGGGAACCGGTGCTCTCATTTTCGGTCTTTGTTCATTTGGCCAGGGCCAATGCACCGAGCTGATCAGATAGCTCGGGTTCCGATGAAGCTTTGTGGAGGACTTCCATTGCCTCAGCCACCTTACTCTTCAAGTCATCCGGTGACTCGATGAGATGAAGGACCTCGGGTTGGTCCATTTCCAGCAACATGCCAGTAACCTTTGCTGCATGACCTGGCTCGAGACATTCCACAAGTGGATACAGCTGCTCGCCGAGCATCTGTAACAATATAATGTAGAAAGTGTAGTTTTTGACATGTCTCATCTTACGGATATGATTTCATTCTTCTCTAATGAAGGAAAGAAAAATGGTGACATACCACACGTTGGTTTTCGGGTGAAGCAGAAGCTAATGCAGAAGCGAGTGTTGATGAAGGCACGACCCTTGATCGCTGGACGTCAATAGGGGAGCTAGACACTCCAGAAGTATCAAAAGTCAGAGGCATCACTGGACCAACAACGGCTTGAGGCAGAACAGGGGGCAGGACGGGTGGCTTTAATCCATTCCGTACATTGTTCATGTAACTAAAACCTTGTCCAGTGCCACGGAGCAGTGACTGGATTCAAGAAACAAGTCCACACAAACATCAGAAGAAATGAAAGAAAAAGGAAAGAAACTCGGTAACGAAGTACATAAATTTCTACATAGGCTTCAACGGTTTGACCCCCTCGAAAAAACTCTTAGGAAGGATTTTAATAGATCTCGGTAATGCAAAATCGCAGACAAATGCAGCACAAACATTGAAATGGTATCTACTAATGAAACTGACACTAAAAAAATAGCGAGTAGACAGATGATCTTAACAACGTTACCTGCTGCTGCTTATTAAATGGTTGCGAATTTCCACCTCGCCTCATCCCAGGACGTGGCCCGGGCTGTCCTTGTCTCTGAAACTGGTAAGGCAAGATGAAGTTTGGACCCATACCAGGTCGCATTCCGGTCATGAGTTGAGGCTGGAAGCCGTATCCAGCAGGCTGTGAGGGCACCAGCCCGGGATTTCCCTGACCATAATACAGCTGCTGAGGTGCAAGGCGTGGTGCACCTGGATGAAACCCTGGAATTCCTGAAGGCAAAGACGATATTGCGCCAGCTGCTCTGGCTTGAGCAAATTGAGCCTGAACACACAAGAATATATGCTATTACCAGAATTCAAAGGATTGACACATTATAGAAAATGCATGATAAAGCCACAACTCGCTCGCAAAATACTAGTAAATAAGTATTTCGATCCACCACATGGGACTATCAAAATTCGCATAATTGGATATAGATATCAAAACGCCACGTTATTAAATCCAGAACTGAAATCATCATAGGGAAAAAAAACTTGAACGATAGACCATTCCTCGAGAATAAAAATCACACCTGGAGCCGAGCCTTTCTCTCTTCTTTGTGCTGGGCAACAGCCACAAACAGAGGTTTCCTTCCCTTCATTTTTCCATTCAATTCATTCAACTAAAGAATACAAAAGAAACAGAAAAGTTAGTTTCCATTTTCATATCATATTCGGATATAGAACACCCAGAAGTAGATCGTAATGAAAAAAATAAACAAATTTACGGCTCTCGTTGCTTCATCTGGTGAAGAAAATGCTACAAAACCAGATCCCTTGCTCAGTCCATTTTGGTCAAGCATAACCTGGCAATAATTCAATCAGGCATAGAAATCAACAAAATATAATCATAGAGCTATCTATACAAAAGTCAACACGTAGGCTTCGACGGTGGAGGTTGCCAAAAGAAAAACGAACCTTGCATGATGTGATTGTTCCATACTCAGAGAATAACTCTTTGAGCTTCTCATCATCAATATGGTCATCAAGGTTTTTTATATACAAATTAGCACCTTGTAATTTTTCAAATCTACTCTTTCGTTCCTGTTCAAATTTTGCTTTCAACTCGGCCTCCCTTTCTACTTTCTTCTGAGCCCTGGCTACATACAGAACCTTTTCATCACCAAGGATGGTACCATTCAACATTTCAACTGCAGCAGCAGCAGAGTCTGGGCTCTGGAAATTCACAAAGCCAAAACATTTGGACTTCCCTTTCAAATCTGTCATGACAACTGCACTAGTAATGGCACCATGTGTAGCAAAAAGATTTTTTAGGTCATCAGCTGTGGTAGTTTCCAGTAAATTCTTCACATAAACATTAGTAAATGTCGATCCATTTGCCTGAATCCTTTCCTGACGTCGAATAAAATGTCCAACAAAAACTTGCTTATCATTGAGCAGCATGCCATTCAATCTAACTATAGCAATGTTTGCAGATATCTCATTTTCAAATTGCACAAATCCATACCCTTTTGATTGACCATTGCTATCAATGGCAACTTTACACGAAAGAATAGGACCGAAGGTAGCAAATGTATCATGCAATGCCTTGTTATCAATTGATGCGTCCAGATTTTTGATGAAAACATTTGCATGGCCACTTTTTCGGATGCTAGGATCTCGATTCGACATCATAATCCTGATAGGCTTCCCATTAATGGGGCTGAAATTCAAATGTTTCAAGGCGCTGGAAGCTGAGAAAATTTATGAAAGGATACAATAAGAGACTCAATGCCTAAATTTTGGAACCAAAAGATGCTTTAAAAAATATATATATCCAACTTGAATGTGTGTATCAGTATGAATCAATCTATAACTTAATAAAAACTGATCCAATAACAACAGAAACCCAAAACATATCCAGAATAATTCTTTAAACGTAATTTTCAGTCATCGAATTTCGATTTCCAAAATGCAATAGCCTAAGAAGAAAATCAGAACAAAACACAGCAGTATCAAAATCAAAACTCAAGCATATCAAAATCATCCAGAAATTACAGAACAAAAATTAAAGACGCATATAAACATAAAAAACGAAATAACGAACCTTCCTGATGATTGCTGAAATTAACATAAGCGTATCCAAGCGATTGCCTGCCTGTCTGATCCCTGCAAACCCTAATAGAGACAACCTGAGCCACTTGGCTAAACAGTTCCAAAAGCTGTCCCTCGTCCACAGTCGGGTCCAGATCGCCAACATACAATGAAGAACTCAAGAATCCGCCTCCAGTGGCGACAGAGTCAGTCGGAGGAATCGCCGCCGTTTGAACTGTAGCGACAGCCGCCGGTGCCGTAACTGGAGTTGCCATCGCCGACTCGAGACCGAAAAAACACCGCCGGAAACAAAATAAATTAGATAGATAGAAGAACAGAAATCGGAGGCAGTCTACCGATGAACAGCCGAAGAAGATCACAGGATCACTAGGGTTTCTAAACTTCTCCAAAAATGGAAATTTGTAGATTTTTCTTTTTGGTTTTTATTTTCCTTTCCTAATCTTTTCCTTCGTGAATTCGTCCGAGGAGAGGGGGAGAGAGGGAGAGAGAGAGAAGCAAATTGGAGCGAAACTTATACCTTTATACTGCCGGAAAGAAGAGGACTTTTCAAACTTTTTCGTATTGTATAGCTTCGAGCTTAACTTAATGACACGTGTCCATTCGTTACTTGAATGTCAAGTATGACAAGTGAATATTCTAATATTTAAAATATTCCAATATTAAATGATTATTCTTTTTCTTATTTATTTTATTCTAAACATGGACATTTATTAAATTATCTATATTTTTATATAACTAAAATTTATATTTGACACATAAACTATTTAAGTTTTTTTTTACTTTTCATTTTTTAAATGACTTTTTAATTGCTTTAATTTTAGTAACTCATTTCCAAATTTGAATAAAAAGCTTTTATTTTATTTTATTTTCACTCTCCCAAATTTCAATATTTTTCTATATTAATTAAGAAAAAATAAACCCTAACTAATGAGCGTTTGGTCGGTCCAAGCCCAAGAATTATATTATGGACTTTATTATCGAGTATTGGATCGACTCAATCCAAGTCCAATACGGAATCTTAGATTGTTGGACTACAATTTAAGCTGAACTTTAGATCGTGTAAGATTGGACCGTATTTTATTTTTTTAGCCATTGAGTTTTTTTTTATAAATAAAATTTAGTTATTATTTTTAATTATTATTTTTAATTTAAGTTTAATTATTATGGTTTAGTAGAGTTACTTAATTTAATTATTTAAGTGAATCTCTTTTGTTTCAAATTTCATATGGTATAGTTTAATATATATATATATATATATATATATATACTAAGTCTATTTTAGTATAATTTTTAATTGTCTACTTAAATTTATGATTTAATTAATTCTAAATAAATAAAATTAATAATTTTCAATAAACGTGATATCTAATATTTTCAATATGATATCTAATATTTTCGATATGAATCATAAATTTTATGTAAATTGAAAGTTTATGAATTAAATTTGTAATTCAATACCTTGATAGATATTCTTCTCAATCTTCTCATCAACCATTGCAAGAGCAAGATGGTAATTTAACTTATTTATACTCGTTTTTTCAAACTCAACTTCACCATGGCTAATTATGTAAGTCGAGTTTAAACGAGCAAGAGAAGGTTTAAGATTGTGAATTGAAGTTATGACAAACAAGTTATACACATAAATCCAAACTATATAATAACTCAAATTAATGAAATGTGTCACTCAACCTAATTAAAAACCCTTGGCACGTCAAAAGATCAGATCCAGGCAGGGAATTTATGATAGCAATGGACCAAGAACGTTCCATTTGTATTGTATCATTATCTTCTATTTCCAAGGTTTCAAATCAAGAAACAATAATCAACATAACACATTGATTTTACCTGCCGTAATCAACATAGGAAGGCCTGGAGAATGAGATTCACCAACCGTACTTCTTCAGTAAGTCCCTAGTTCTCTTCCTCGAGCGTGTGAAGACGATAACGACGCAAGCAAGAATCCAAGGAGGGAAGTTCCCAGTGATGTTTAGTGTCTTCATCCATCCCTGTGAGCTTCTTGAGGTCGAGAGAAGCGTTATCATAATGGTAATAATTGCCACGACAAAAACTATCCCGGTTACGGGTTTGATCAGGGAATCCTGTAGTAAAGAGAGAAAATGTGGAATTAGCTATGTGCTAGAATATGATGCAAAAGAATAAATAAAAACGAAGCGAACAAAATCGAACAAAATTAGAACATATATGCATCCATTTTCCAGTTACCATCCAATACGTTAAGGTCGTCATCAACTGAATCAGTTGACAAACACAGCCTTAAATACGCTTTTATCATATGGTTGTCCTAGCATCGAAAAACATCTATGAATTAGGACGACATCGATAACCAAAGACCAAAAATCAAGAGGAAAAGAACACGAAATAGGACTTTTTTGTAACAGCCCAAGCCCAAGCCCACCGCTAGCAGATATTGTTTTCTTTGGACTTTCCCTCAAGGTTTTAAAACACGTCTGCTATGGAGAGATTTCCACACCCTAATAAAGACGGTTCCGTTCTCCTCCCCAACCAACATGGGATCTCCCTTTTTTTTACTTAAACTAGCTCAGTAAAAATGAGTCGTCTCCCTGCAACTACTCACACTCACAAAAACTTGTGTGTTCAATTCTAACACAAAAAACCAAATGAAGCAAAAGAGTCCATTGGAGAGCATTAATGCTTTGGAAACTCCTTTTGACTCTCTTAACTATGAATGTACATTAAACTCTTGGTGTAGGGCGCTTTTACTTAATTGTAATTTCATCTGATTCATGAAATACAGTCCCGCTATCAATGAATACACACGCGCACGACACACATACCGCTCAAGAAAAGATAAAGAGCAGAATATAAGTCAATGTGGAAAACAGACAGTCACAGGGTAATTTGAGAAAATTGAAATCTTTGATAACTGGATCCATTGATACGACCAGTAACCTTGCAATTAAACTTCTTGGTCAATGAGGTATATATTTTATCGTATGGTTGTCCTAGCAATAAGATCAGAAGTAAATCCTAGCTTCCCTCTTGAAAGCATGCTTAAAAATTACAACGTAGGAATTTTAAGCACTGTACAAATGAAAAAAGTTACACTTCAAAGTAGTTGTCACGTGAAATCAACTCGGAGAATATTAGACAGTTTTAACCATATGCCAGCCCAAGCACCCGCTGTTTATGTGCGTGTATGCAAGTGTTATGACAACTAGCACACGCTTCGACTAATGTCAAAGACAACTACCTAACCTTAAATATATTTAGTTGACAGGGTCACTTGTAGGTTATTAAATTCTAGGTAGGTTGTCACTACGACTTGAACCCATATCCTCTAAAAGCCCTCAATGATCACTATACAACCATAGCTGCCCGAACACCGACAATTATCAGAAAAAATAAAACTAGTGGCCAAATCTATGAGTAAGTTTAAACTTGTATACTAGGAAACAACTCATAGAGTGATAAACAATTCATACAAGGGACTGGATTAATTCTAAACCAAGAAAGAATTACAGGGAAGGGCTCCAAAAACAAGCCATCGTAAAACGAAGGATAAAGATGAGTATACTAAGAGTTTGTTTGGCATTGACTTTTAGAATAGGGAGATGTGTTTAATTAAACACATTTCTTTTGGCTCCACGAACAGCTCAACTAAAAAGTCATTTCAAACTTACTCGTGGATCTAATGAAGCATTAAGGTGAACTTCAACACGAATCTTTTCCAGAATCGTAGGATACCCAAATTATCTTTCTTCTTCGTTTTCTTCTTTTTTAAAAAAAAAACTAAAATGTCGTCTTATGAGCCGTTAACATACGCCTAAAAAGAATATGGTTCACATACTCCACTGCCTTATTGCAAATAACACACCGTGATAGCCAAGGCACAAAGGTCGACAACCTCTCAAAGTCAACAGCATTGTGGATCTTACCAAGGATAATTGGCAAGAAAAGAAAGAACTTCACCTTCTTAGAGATGTTAGTGGAAAAAGGAGAAGGCAAGGAGGTTCATAAGACGAAGCTCAAGCATTTCCAAGTTAAATGAGGCGATTCAAACAAGAACTCTTCGGATAAGTAGGTGAACGATAAAATGGTCTAGGATTGAATTAGTGCCAGTGCCAATACCATGATACCCCTAAACTCAAATCTGATTATCATCCAAACAGAAAACAAAAGTTCAATAAAACATGGCAAACATTGAAAACTAGCTATCGAGGAGTTCGTGCTATTAGCAACCTCATGAACATCCCAATGATCGAGGCTAAGCCCATGCTTACTAGAGACAACCTTGATCAAGAACCAAGAAGTTCTATCTCCAAGAGTGTAGGACTTTCGCTCACATTGTATCATTTGGTATTCTTCAGGACTAAATTACCAATTATCAACTGGCTTTTACCCGTTCGTTTCAAATCTACTTTGAGTATAGCCATCGACTAGACTTACAGCCACATATCACCAATTACAACATTCAAGAAAAATAGGTTGTATTCTGTCTTATGATTCTCATCCATAAGATCTTCAATTCTTAAAACCTCAACTCAAACCAAACAAAACTTGAGTGCATTATATATCTCTAAACAAAGCTACAAACTAAATTTCAAACAATTACAGACTATGTATAGTGTTTTTCTTCACTCTTTAACTTCGGTCAACCAGTTCCATAGTTACAGATCGAGATCCACGTAGCAGATATAGTAAAGATGATCAATTTCGCAATTTGAAATGAATAGAGCAGAGAATCTTTACCTTAGGCTCTCCGTCGATGTAAATTTCGGCTCCACCTCTGTAAGTCAATATAGACCTACCATTTCTAGGGTTGAATCGAATCGGGACGCCACGACCGGAGTCAGGTTTGAAGGCGAAAACGCTTTTGAAGCCGTATTTATCGAGAATCTCTCGGACCTCGAGCTGGTCTTGTTCCCAACCCCCAAGGCTTGATTTAAACACATCGATCGGACCTTTGCCCTGCCGATAAAGATGGATCTCAACCTCCGGAACCTTCGTTTTCACTGTTTTGGAATTCGAACTCGGGTTCTGGCTCTGAAGAAGAGGTTGCAGCTCTGAGTTCGAGCTGGTTTCTTCAATTTCACGGATTTCGCTCTCGCTCTGGTGATCCTCCATTTCGCGCAATGTTTTTGATGTACGGTAATGGATTTTATTTGTTCCAACCAGCTAAAATAAAATATCGTTTTTTTTTTTTTTTGTCGAAATAACCTTCAATTACAATATATAAATATAAATATAAATATATAAATATATATATATATATATATCTAAAACAAAATTTTTTAGTCAACAAAAAAAAAAAAAGTACAAAAGTCTAAGGTTGACTAAATACTTTACTCTCGAGAACAAAACGATCAAATCATTCAACACATTTACCGTTTGTGCCCTTCTAGTTAATCCATAAGGGTCCCGAACCGATATTCTCGAACCAAAAAAATTTTTATATGTACTGTCTGAAAAAGAGGAAGATTCGTAATAAAATTTTATTTCGAGTCATAGGTCAAAACTGATATTTTCTCGAGAACAGTAGCTTATGGTCTTAATACTACTACTTGTATATGAACTTTTCTTGTTGTTGCTCGACTCTAAACCATATACGGTCGATAAAAAAAAAAAATTATTCACTTACAAATGTCATAATAAAAATAATTTGTCGTGTAGTTTAGCTTCCCCAATCTTTAATCCACCTATAGAAAAATATCATATCGAGGGATTGATTTTATTCTATATATAAATTATTTTATAAATGCAATAAAAAATAAAAAATATAATTAATGGCAATACAATATTTATTTTAAAATATAAATAATTTTATTTTAAATCTATATTTTTTTAGATTTTTATCGGTGTTTTGATAGATATTTATATAAATTTGAGAAACACACATTTCGTTCCCTAACAAAAAAAATAAAATAAAAAATAATAATAATAAAGGAAAATTAAAAGAAAATTAAAAAAGGCCGTCCGTTGAGACGCGAAATATTGAGGCCCAAAATATGGTCTGGATATGTTGATAATGTGGGCTTCGAAGCAATTATGGGCCTCGAATTTAAGCCCATGACAGAGCGTACGTACCGGATATGCTTGCTTGCCGTATAAATACGTTCCCGCCTTTCGAAATTGATTCAAGAATTTCACTTCATCCGCTTCTTCTCGTTTTCAACCTCTGAATCTCAGTTACGAAATGTATATTTTGCCAAGGTTTTAGGGTTTCTTTCGTGCTTCGATGCAACCTGTTAATGTTCGATTTGCTGCATTTTTCCATTGTAGTGACATTGTGCTTCTTCTGTGTTGCAAGAAGCTTTTGTAAGCGTTCTTTCGTCATTTCTCTGCGTTCTCGTTTTCGGTTCTGTTTTGACTCGCAATGAGTTTCGATTCCGAATTCCGTTTGAAATATGGAATAGTATTGCTTCTTTTGCTGTTGTTGTCTGAACTCTGACGCCGTATTACTGATTTTGAAGTGGCCATCTGAACTTCTGGGATGTAAGGATTAAGGGACGGAGCCGAACATTCTCTTGACAATAAAGCCACTGGAGAAATCGAAATAATCTCAGGTTAGTTAAGGAGTTTCAAGCGTTCGATGAAACCTAATCAAGTCTTCAATCCTAGCTTCTTCTTCTCCAAGGCAGGGTTTAGGTTTGATCGTCTACTCTCATTTCAACTTATTATGAACAGACGAAGTCTAGGTAGAGCCGTACTAATGTTCGATTCCAATCAATTGATCTTACAGGGATTAGAGGATGAAAATTAGAAGCTATACTCCCAACTTGTAAGTTGTTTCTGTTTCCTGGTTTGGTCGACTATGTTAGGATGAAATATGAATTCTTTAGTTATCAAGTTAGGGCTGTGATGATTAGACACACATTTTTTGAAATTTTTTTATAATCTTATAATTGTTTTTTTAAATTTAAAAACCAATAGGAATATGTTTGAAGCAAAAAATAAATAAATAAAGTATAGTATTTTCATTTTTCGGTTTGACAATTTAGGCAAAGCCAACAAGTTTAGGTCGCGAGCCCTTTTACTGCGGAGAGAACGGCGAATGGCCTACTTCGATCTCCTGTTGCAGAAGTGCTCTTCCTTCTCGCAAATCAAGCAACTCCAAGCAAACCTCATCACCAATGGCCATTTTCACTTCTCTTCCTCTCGCACCAAGCTTCTCGAGCTCTGCGCCATCTCCCCCTTCGGCGACCTTTCTCATGCCCTCCATATTTTCCGCCATATCCACTCCCCTTCCACCAAGGATTGGAACGCCGTCATTCGCGGCACCGCCTTGAGCTCCAATCCCTCAAATGCCATTTTCTGGTACAGAACCATGACCGCGTCAAATGGGCCTCATAGAGTCGACGCTCTCACCTGCTCCTTTGCCCTCAAAGCTTGTGCGCGTGCGTTGGCCCGTTCTGAAGTGATGCAATTGCATTCACAGGTTTTGCGATTTGGGTTCGATGCTGATGTTCTCCTACAGACTACATTGCTTGATGCGTACGCAAAAGTTGAGGATCTTGATCAGGCCCAGAAGGTGTTCGACGAAATGCCAGAACCAGATATCGCCTCGTGGAATTCTCTGATTGCTGGGTTTGCTCAAGGGGGTCGACCAAGCGATGCTATAGACTTGTTTAAGAGAATGAAGGAGGATGGGAATTTGAGGCCCAATGAAGTAACCGTTCAAGGTGCTCTCTCGGCGTGTTCCCAATTGGGTACTTTGAAAGAAGGTGAGAATGTTCGCAAATACATAGCAGAGGAGAATTTAGACACAGTTGTGCAGGTTTGTAATGTTGTTATTGATATGTATGCTAAATGTGGATCTGTGGATAAAGCTTATTGGGTGTTTGAGAATATGAGATGTGAGAAAAGTTTAATCACATGGAATACAATGATAATGGCATTTGCAATGCATGGTGATGGACACAAAGCGTTAGATCTTTTTGAAAAGTTGGGTCGATCTGGTATATATCCTGATGCAATATCATATCTAGCGGTGCTATGCGCCTGTAACCACGCAGGGCTCATAGAGGATGGACTTAAGCTCTTCAATTCAATGGTGCAAAGGGGTGTGGCGCCAAATATAAAGCATTACGGAGTAGTGGTCGATTTGTTGGGTCGAGCCGGGCGTCTGAAAGAAGCTTATGAAATTGTAAGTTCAATGCCTTTTCCTAATATGGTTCTGTGGCAGACTTTGCTTGGTGCTTGCAGGACTTATGGGGATGTAAAAATGGCAGAGATGGCATCTAGGAAGCTAGTAGAGATGGGCTTTATTAGCTGTGGTGATTTTGTTCTGTTGTCGAACGTGTATGCTGCTCGTCGGAGATGGGATGACGTTGGGCGAGTTAGGGATGCCATGAGAAGAAGGGATGTGAAGAAGACGCCTGGATTTAGTTACATAGAAGTGAAAGGTAATATGCACAAATTTCTTTATGGCGACCGAAGCCATTCGAGTTGTCGTGAAATTTATGCAAAGCTTGATGAGATCATGTTTAGGATCAAAGCCATTGGATATACAGCTGAAACTGGTAATGTATTGCATGATATTGAGGAGGAGGACAAGGAGAACGTGCTGTGTTATCATAGTGAGAAGCTTGCTGTAGCCTTTGGATTATCTTGTACTGAAGAAGGGACCCCAATCCAAGTGATTAAGAATTTAAGGATTTGTGGGGATTGTCATGTTGTGATTAAGCTAATATCAAAGAGTTATAATCGAGAAATTTTCGTAAGGGACCGAACTCGATTTCACCGGTTTAAAGATGGTTTGTGTTCTTGCAAAGATTATTGGTGATACTTATTGGCGCAAAGGTTCTAAAATAGAGACGTTTTCTTGGAAAATGTCCTGTATCTCGCCCATCATGAGTTGGCTTATAATAAGCGTCGGGAATGAGTTCAATTCGAGGTGAACGCCTACTTAGGATTTAATGTCCTATGAGGATCAAACCGTTGTTCTGTGAAATTAGTTGAGGTACATGACTTTGAACGGATATGATGTTCAAAAAGAAAATAATGCCCATATGGCAAGTGTAGGAATTATTTAGATCTTTCATTGATTCAAGGTCTAAGAGGCATGGGGCGTCGAGACCGAGGAAGAAGGCAGCTGTGGATAATGGAACATAGGAGTCGATACCGAGGAAGAAGGCAGCTGTGAATAATGGAACATAGGAGTTGAGACCGAGGAAGAAGGCATCTGTGAATAACGCAACATAGGAGTTGAGACCGGCAGCTGTGAATAATGCAACATAGGAGTCGAGATCGGCAGCTGTGAATAACGCAACATAGGAGTCGAGACCAGCTGTGAATAACGCAACATAGGAGTCGAGACCAGCAGCTGTGCATAATGGAACATAGGAGTCGAGACCGAGGAAGAAGGCAGCTGTGAATAATGGATCATAGGAGTAAGAAGGCAGCTGTGAATAATGGATCATAGGAGTCGAGAAACATAGGAGTCGAGACTAAGTAAGAACGCAGCTGTGATTAATGAAACATAGGAGTCGAGATCGAGTAAGAACGCAGCTGTGAATGATGAAACATAGGAGTTGAGATCGAGTAAGAACGCAGCTGTGAATGATGAAACATAGGAGTTGAGATCGAGTAAGAACGCAGCTGTGAATGATGAAACATAGGAGTCGAGATCGAGGAAGAACGCAGCTGTGAATGATGAAACATAGGAGTCGAGATCGAGTAAGAACGCAGCTGTGAATAATGAAACATAGGAGTCGAGACCGAGGAAGAATGCAGCTGTGAATAATGAAACATAGAACTTGTAACTTGGATCAAACGCTTTTGGTAGATTCATACAGAAAACGGCAACGAACAACAACAATGTGCTGTGAATCTGGTAAGTCTTTATTCATCGCTTACTTCCCTTTTTCCTATTTAGAAAAAGTAAAAAAAAATTTACCTTCCTAATACAGATACAAATGTCGCTGTTAAAAAGTGAAGTGAAAAACTACGAAGGATTCTTCGTAAGGGCTATAGAACTTCTAGACCTTAAGATAAATTTTATTTTTTTAAAAATATTGTTGAAAACAATATATATTTTATTATTATTCTTTAAATTTATAAAATAATTAAAATTCAAAGCAAATAAATACTTGGTCAAAGGTTTAAAATGGGATATATTTGTGTAAGTTTTTTAAAGAATATTTCACGGTGAATCAAAATAATCCTGTGCATCGCGAATCACATGAAACATTCGTTTGAACGAATCAAACGGTGATCCGAGCACCATCTTTCATCAAGCCATTAATATCCTGCCACCTCAACACTGATCGATCCATTGTCCAGTGTAAGCAATTGACTCAGTCTCACCGGTCGTCGCCGCTCCAAAAAAAAAAAAAGGACAATAAATTAATAAAAATATTAAATTATGTACGGATTATTGTATTTTTAAAATTCTTTTATTTTCTCATTTTTAAATAAATTTCAACAAAGTGCTATATTTTTATAATTTTTTAAATAAAATATTAATATATACCTTAGTCATTAAGGTATAATTTTCTCGTGGTTTTATATAATAAGAAAAGTTAATAATTATTTTTGAAATATTGTCATAATCTTAAAATTAAAAGTTTTTCATTATATATAGAATTATTTAAGATATTAAAAATATAAATTGTTATAGTTACTCTTCTAAAATATAGTCTCTCATAAAAAATTTATTGAATTAAAATTAATCTAAAATCAATAATTAAAATTAAAAAAAAAATTATAACATATATAACAAAAAAAAAAAAAAGATTTAAACCTAATTAAAATAATAATAATAAAATATCCGATCACTTCAGGAAGTTTCCGCGTATTACCGTAACAATAAAAAGCCCACCACCACTCTCTCCGCTGCTTCATCCCCATTACTTGGTTTGACCAAATCAGCCCAACTCCGCCATCTCTCTCATTTTTTTTTTCTCCCTGCGACGGTCTTTCAGTCGTCGCTGGTGGTCGGAGTCTGCCGATCTTTCCCAAATTCAATTTTGATTGTGTGGATTCGTCGAGTTTTGGAGCGAATTTTTTCGCCCTCGCTAACGATTTTGTCATAGGATTAGGAGTTTTGATTATTTATTTATTTATTTTATTGAGGTGTTGTTCGTAAGCGATTTGATGTCAACTGTGTCGTCGTCGATGGGATTGTGCGACGAGGGGGATTGGCCCCCAGGGTTTCGGTTTCACCCGACAGATGAGGAGCTGGTTCTGTATTACTTAAAGTTCAAAGTCTGTAGACGCAAATTGAAGCTCGATATCATTCGCGAGATCGATGTTTACAAGTGGGAACCCGGGGAGTTGCCTGGTAAATAAACTTTCCTTCCCGCGCTTAATCTGATCGATTGATGATCTTGCGGTTTATCTTTGACCTATTCTATGTTTGATTGAATTTGTTGTAGATTGATTTTATTTAACTGTTGAGGAGATGGATTTTGGGATCTTTCTGTACCTATTTGCGTGATTTTCGTTTGATTAGTTTCATTGTTTGCTGATTTTGCTTTGCTAGAAGTCAAAGCTTTGTTCAGAAGATCACTCAAGTTCTTCATCAAATTTAAATTGCATCTTTCGGTACATTTTTCCCGTTTGGTTGTTTCTATAAGTCACGTATCTATTCTCATAAATCGTAGTTGTAGCTATTTCTTGTTGCTCCTTTCCGTTTTTCTTATGAATCATTTCTATTCAATGAGTTCTTATTATTGGAAGGAATCATGTAATAGCGGAAGACATAAGCCCCTTGTTTTTGGATTAGGAATTTAATTGATATAGCCAATTCATCATCTATATGGTACCTGATTATCGATTATAATCCTTTTTCCCATAATTTTAGAAAGTTGGTTTCCCTCTCTCTGTAAATGCAAGTCTTGATCTATGTTTTTGGATATTAATGAATATTGCTAGTTTTTCTGATCATGAATGAATGAATGCAGGTCAATCTAAGTTAAAAACTGGTGATAGACAATGGTTCTTTTTCAGTCCTAGGGAACGTAGATATCCAAATGCATCTAGATTAAGTAGAGCTACAAGAAATGGCCACTGGAAGGTCACGGGAAAGGATCGAATAATAAAGTACAATTCACGTAATGTTGGTGTGAAGAAGACCCTGGTGTTCTATCAAGGCCGTGCCCCTAATGGTGAGCGGACTGACTGGGTTATGCATGAGTATACCTTGGATGAAGATGAGCTCAAGAGGTGTAAGAATGTTAAGGTAATAACAGTGTGTTTAAGCTCTTCTCTTGCTTATTATTTTCTTGCAAGATCTTGTTTTACTAATCTTAAGCCTTTGTTGCAGGATTACTATGCTCTCTACAAACTTTACAAGAAGAGTGGACCTGGTCCTAAAAATGGTGAGCAATATGGAGCACCATTTAAAGAAGAAAATTGGAATGATGGTGAATGCCAAGTTTTAGTTCACTCCGACGCACAGGAGCCACAAGTGAACATACTTGATGAGGTTACCTCTGTCGATCGTGAAAAAGCGAACGTTCAAATACAGCTTTCATCAGATGATATTGAGGAACTTTTGCAACAATTTACAAATGATCCTGTCCTAGAGTTGCCATCAGTCAGTGGTTATCATCAATTTGACTCGGTCGTGCAGGTTGGCTGCCCTGAACATTGCATTCTGATATTCTGTTCCCATTTCCATGTTAATTTACCTTGGTGAATAGACTGGTCATCACTTTGAGATAAAAATGTTTCTTATTCGATTGATCATATAGCTGTAGGAATTGGGAACATCGGAACGTATGAACTGCATATCTAAACTTCTAAGCATCTATGGTCCATAATATTTAGAATCTTTGACATATATGACATACATGCTGTATTTCATTGGATATTTTGTCGGCCATTCTTTTCTCTATATGCTTTATTTGTTCAGTTTCATCAGTTAGCTTATGATTTGTGTACTTTATTTGTCTGTTTAGGTTGATGACAAAGAAGAAACTGCAAGTACTATGATTGATACTTACTCTCAGAATCACATACTTCCTGAAGCGGATAAAGTATTAAACTTAAGTGGCCAGCCAAGTGATTTGCATCCATGCTTCCAATTTACCCAGGCAGGTCTCTTCCAATTGCAATCCTTTGATAGCGAGGTATCATCGGCTCCGAAATATCATGAAGAAGAAGATTTCTTGGAGATTGATGATCTCATTGGTCCTGAGCCAACTCTCGTGGCAAATGCCAATCCCTTGGGAAATTCAGAGTTCGATGGATTGAACGAGTTAGAGCTGTTCCATGATGCAAATATGTTTCTTCGCGACTTGGGACCTGTCGTCCCAGAAACATTTTTAGATCCATATTTGAGTGCTGACGGTGGTATTCTTGTTGCCAACGATGTGAATGGCCATTTGCAATATGATCAGATGGGCAATGGGTTCTGGGAGAATGAGACAGAAAATTCCTTCAGCTTCCCAGAACCGCATCAACAGTTTGGTACTCAACCAAATTTAGGTATATAATTCAGCTCAAACTTGATAACTGCCCAGTTTTAGCAAACATTAAGCAGTCTACTTTTACTAAGCTGTTTCTTTCTGTTCGATTTTCGCGAAGTTGCTGGCTCGATTAGCTCATCGACACAGGGCTCTTGCTCAGATAAGTGGGGTTTGTTTGATAAGCCATTCTATACTTCAAATGGCAAGAGACCCCTCATGTGAAATATTGAGCCAGCTTCGACAGATACCTAGAACGAGTATTCTTCTCGTACATTGTGTATTCTTCTCGTACATTATCGAATTCACTGATTCGAAAGGAGCTATTCTCCAATTATACTTGTCAACCTCATCATAAACTGCCATTTTGGTGCCAATTCCAGGTGCCATTTTATCAATGTGAAGCAGTAGGGCAGTTGCTAATTCTGAAACTTTTTGGTCTTGTTTAGGTGTGGGATATGAATCTGTAAGTTCTGCAGCACCAGAAATAAGGGATAACCAAATAGCAAACGGTGGAGGCAGTTCTGCAAGTAAGTTCTCTTCCAATTTGTGGGCCTTTGTAGAGTCGATACCGACCACCCCCGCTTCAGCTTCCGAGAACGTCAACCGCACTTTTCAGAGGATGTCTAGCTTTAGCAGATTGAGACTAAATACCCTGAACACCTTTAACGCCAATGTCGCCGTAGGTAATCCCAAAACTAGCGCGAGGAGAACGGGTACGAATAAGGGATTCTTTTTATTTTCAATTCTTGGAGTATTGTGTGCCATTCTATGGGTGTTGTTAGGAGATGTTAGATTACAGGAAAGAGGCATTGCCTCATGAATCTGGTTCATGAAAATTCTGCCATCTTCTTTTATCCCTTTATTATATGCATATCTTATAGTTCCAATCTTCGTGGGAGATTCCTCTTCATGGAAACTGAATTTTGTATGTAAATTATAGCTCAGTCATAGATAAAACAAGAGTTATAAGTCTCAATCGTTACGAGGAAATATTAGTGATCAATTTTAATTCACAGGTCTATCTCAATTACAGTTTTTCTTGTGTTCGTGCTCTGTTTTGTATAGCTCAGTTACGGATGGTGATGGATGAAAGTTATAAATAAATCTAGTAATTATACTAAGAGTAGCTTGAAAGTCGTTTAGATGAAATATTAGTAATTGATTTTAATTCATAAGTCTATCTTAATTACGATTTTTGTGTGTGTGGAGTTTCGTGAACTATAGCGGAGTTATGACAGATGTTAGATGAGAGTTTTAAATGTAGTAAATTATATCGAGAGTAGCTTGAAAATCGTTTCAAGGAAATAATTCATAGGTCTATCTTGATTACGGTCTTTTTGTGTGTGAGTTCTGTAAAGTATAGCTTAGTTATGTAGACGGTGGATGAGAGTTAGAAATCTAGTAATTTATACTAAGAGTAGCTTGAAAATCGTTTCGAGGAAATATCAGTGATCGATTTCAATTCACAGGTCTATCTAATTACGGTTTTTCGAGTGGGAGTTCTATGAAGTATAGCTCAATTACGACTGATGATAGATGTATAAGTCTAATAAATTATACTAAGAGTAACTTGAAAATCGTTTCTAGTGATCGAGGAAAATCGTTTCATGTAACGATCCAACGGCTATAATAAATGAAATGATGCTAAAAGACGGTTCTACTGTCACGTACCATAAATATTGAATGTAGAAGATTTCATTTAAATTCCATAAAACATAACTCATGGACTTACCTGTTTCGAAAACATCACAACAAAAGACCTGAAACAAAATTAATAAGCGTTTAAGTTAAAAACCTAAATATCACTATCTTATGCATGTGCCATGGTCGCGGGTTGCGATGCCGTCGTCAGCCATACAGGAATGCCTTGCCTTAACATGAAAAATATAGTAGCACGAGGTTTGAGTATTTCTAGAATACCCAGTAAGTGACACTCTATCGGGGTTATGCAACAATCACATGCAATGAAATGATGAGACCTATCTTTCAATCTGTCTTCCTATGGTGCTGTCCTAACGGGTAATTTGGACGTGTACCATATACTCTACACACAGCCCATACGTGCGGGTATGGGTTTACCAGTCAGTTCGTACACCGTTGGGCCACCTTACTAGTCGGGCAAGCATACACTAGGACGCTCCCTAGGCTGGACGCCCGTTAGAACTAGTAACCGTCACGACAGCGCTATGCAAAACACACATAATGCATGAGGTCCTCAATATTTCTACTTTTATCATTAATGAATATAACATCGCTATCATCTTTCATGCTTAACATGTCATTTCTCATTTTTCAATCTGCGTATCACACATGATCCTTATGGGATTACATTTCATGTCGTTTATCGTGAATTCATGTCATATATCACATGCTGTTTACATTCAGAATTATAGTACCTTCACGCCAGAATAATCCAGACACATCATAAACGTCATAAACATAACACATCATATCACATTAAACAACATACATTCACATTTCACAAAAGTACTTAATCGAGTATAACAGGCTAGCATACAATTTAATGACACGTGCAAATCCACGGACACGTGCCAACACACAACATACAAAACGTAGCTTACGACCGGTGAGCCACTGACCTGGTTAGCTTAAGTCGTTGTCACGAATATATCCTTAATGAAAGTTCGATTCCGTCATTTGAAATCCAAGTCAACCTATATGAGTTCATGACATTGGTTTCAAGTTTGAATTCTATAAAAATTATCTTTAATCTACATTGGTCCATTGTTAAAAGTCTTGAAATGTTGTATATATAATGCTATTTTCACTAAATATCTTATTTTCTATTATTGCTGTGGTAGATAATATATTGTTAGACAAAATTTAATGGAGTTTCTTGTCCTCTCATATTTTCATTGGATTTTATTTTTAATTCTGTTCACCAAATTTTTTCTCAATCTTTTCTCCACGTCTGATTGTGTAAATAGATTTTCATTCTAAACAGACATTACTCCTACTCAATATTTATTTTATAAACATATATTATTGGCCCATTTTTATCGATTGTTTGCCTACATTTATAGAACTATCAACAAAAATCTAATTAATTGGATACATGAAAAATGAGATTTGATTATTACCTGGAAAAAAATTGTACAAAGGAAAACAAAAGATATGATACTAATAAATATTAGATAAAGGAAAAAAAGAACTGATCCTAATAAAATATTAGATAAAGGAAAAAAAGAACTGATCCTAATAAAATATTAGATAAAGAAAAAAAAGATCTAATCCTAAATTAATTTCTTATAGTAAAAAGAAATTTGAAATAAGATTTTAACGACAGACAAAAATCTCTAAATCAGAGAGCCATTTTACTTCTCTAAATCAGGGAGTCATTTTACTTTTTTATCAAATTTAATATTTCTGTTTATTTTTTTTATAGAGAGGAAGGTAAATTTTATTTTATTTTTTTATTTTTAAGTAATCTTTTTATTATTTATTTATGAATTATTATTATTTATTTTGCTTATATTTTTTTAATTGGTTATTACAAATTATATCAAAATATCTGCTATAATTAGATAAATAACAATCCCAAAATTTAATTTTTTTTAATAAATTTAAAATCGAATGAAATTGCAACCAAATAAACAGTTTTTTTTTATTATATATACACAGAATAATATAAACTATTTATATTGTTTTTAAAATTTTCTAATAAATCTTTGGTATATTTGGTTAATTTTACGAGCTTACTCGAAACAAAATCGAAAATTTAAGAATCCACGTCAACGTAAAATTAAAATGTTTTACCTAATAAAAATAAATAAATTTGTGAAGATCTATTCCCACGTAAAACTAAAATTTAAATATTTATTAAACTAAAAATTAAAGAATTTTTTAAAACTAACTTATATTTTAACCGTAATAATAATAATAATAATAATAATAAATAAATAAATAAATAAATAAATAAATACATCTATACTTAAAAAAGTGCATGCGTCCACCTTATTTATTTGACCAAATTTATCAAAGAAACCGATTTTTTTTTTCTTTTTAATTTTCAAATTTTATATTAATTACTATTCGCGAATCGCTGACTAGTTTCGTCTCTAATAAAAAAAGAATATAAATCCCCGAAATTATTGTATTTATTGTATTTATTTAAAAAAAAAAAGACGAAGAAATATTAACACTTGCAGAAAGTGGGGCGGCCTCTGGAATTAAATCTGGTTGGAACAGGATCTTCTCGGAACGTTTCGTTCTTCTTCGCCGTCGCCGTTGTTTCTGTTTGGAATCTTCCAACGTTCATTCGATTTCTTCAGAAATTTTTGCTGCTGAGGAATAAACTTCGATCACTTACGAACTCAATTGATCTGCGTTTCATTTGCGGAGCTTTTGTGTAGTTTTGAGGTGCAGAGCATCAGTGGGAGTCGGATAAGTTCAGAAAGTGTGCTGAGGAGGAAGAAGATGAAGCAGTGCTTCACCTTCTTCTTCTTCTTCTGTTGATTCATGGCCTCGTCTCAGCACCGCTGTGTTTTCGGTATGTTATGTACAGTTTGTTTTTACGTTGTTGATTTTGATTCTCTAATTTTGCGCGTTGATTTGATGGGGGAACTGTTTGTGTGTGTTGGAGAATGGCGGATTTGAGTTGTATATCTCGGCGAATCTGTAGTGTTGCTTCTTTTTTTGTTTTGTTTTGGTTCAATTGTGGCGGCTTTCTTAATCTAAGCACGGAAGGTTGGGATTTTTTGGTGATTTAATTGCTCGTTCTTTTTTTGTGCGTCTTATTGTGTTGTTAAATTTTGATTTCAGTTGGGAATATACCTTATGATGCTACTGAAGAGCAGCTTATAGAAATCTGCCAAGAAGTTGGGCCCGTAGTGTCGTTCAGGTCTGTATTCTCTGCTCTTTTTCATGGAAAATCATCCTAAAACTTATATTGGAGTGAAATTTAGGATGTAGAATAAGATTGAGAGCTTTCAAGAGGTAAAGTTGGGATTTTTTCTATAGTTCTCCTTGATTTTTTTTTAGTTTCCTTGCTTTTTATTCTCTTGCCATCATCCTTTTCTCCTCTCGCCTAGATTTTGTACCTATGATTCTCTTATTCCTCTCTGAGTCTTGTTCGGGGGTTTACTTCTGTCATTCTCTATCTGCAACAAATTGAGTGGCTATGTCATGCTAGAATAGAATTCTTCGTTTTTGCTAGGTTTTCTGCAGCAAGCCCCTGTTAAGACTGAGGATTCGTTTCATGATGGTTTTCTTTATGTCAGTTTCCCAGATGATAGGGTTTAATCAACTAAGTGATATACATATAGTCTAGTTAAATCTATGACATTCCCGATAAGCCGCCTGTCGATTTCATCCAACTCTTTCTCTGTCTGATAAAAGGATAATTTTCCTGTCAATTTCATCCAACTCTTTCTCTATTTGATAAATGGATAATTTTCCGACGTCTAGTCTGCTTGATTGAGGGGGCGTAGTGGATTGCAGTGTACTTGATTAGAATTGTAGTGTTTAGACTGTTATATCTCATCACAGACAGAGCCATTTATGTAACTCACTTTTTGGTTCTATCATGGTACACTGTGATAAGGGGCCTCTCTCTGATCTGTAGAAATTGAACTAATGTACTACTTTTGGAATTTGAGCCCAGTGTTGGAAGCTGTAACTTTTATCTAATTGTAGTATGTCAATCTTGAAGCTTCTTAAGTCTCCCATCCAAGAAAATGAAGGAAAAAGAAAGTAACTAAGTGCAGGACATCAATTATGAGAGTCGTTATTTTCTAACTTCTGAGTCTCTTATCCAAAAAGATTTTAATTATCATATTAATTTATCATTTCCGTCTATTGTTTGCCAGTACATTTAAAAGTTAAAATTAATAGTTCCTTCCTTTTTCAGATTAGTTATTGACCGAGAAACTGGAAAACCAAAAGGCTACGGGTTTTGTGAGTACAAGGATGAAGAAACAGCTTTGAGTGCTCGTCGTAATCTTCAAGGTTATGAAATTAATGGCCGGCAGTTACGAGTTGATTTTGCTGAAAATGACAAGGGTGCAGACAGAAATAGAGAACAGGTGAAGTGTTTAACCTCTTCTGATTTGTCAATTTGACTCATTGACTGTTCTTATCCATCCAGCTAGTCACATTAGAGGTTTTTGGCATTATTTTCAATAAAATACTTTAAAACATTATTGACTGAATTATATGAAATTTTAGATTATAACGCTGCCAATATTTTCAAGGAATGTGCTGTAAATATTAAATAGATATAATTTTTAAAACCTTGGAGGCTGCCTTAATTACTCCGCTTAGAGTAATTTCCTGCTAGTAGTTGAAGAAATCGGTTCCAAGGAGCCTATTGTGCAGTCTTTACTCTGATACCTTTGCTTTTCAAGTTTAGAATGGATTCAGATGTGTTTGATTGCTCTATAGGCTTCTTAAGTGTCGTGAATGGATTTCGGAATTTGATTATATATATAAAAGATTGTGATATTATCCCGAGTCCCAAGTCCTGACATATTGATTTACAAGAAGAAAAATCTTGGTCCTTGTGAATTTGTCGATGATAGGATTTCTTTTGGAAATGTTGGCAATGTCCTTCCAGAAGAAAAGGATTATATTTTTTCTTTGAAGCTATCTACATAGAATTTCCATGCTTATTTTAATGTTTTTATTTCAAAAAATAGAAAGACAAATTCAGTGAGTAGATATATATATATATATATATTAATTGGAGAATTTCTGTCGACAAGTATTCCAAAGATAAATGTATAGGAAATATTTCAAAGAACAAATACTCTTGGACTGATAATAAATAAATAAAAAATCCATCTTGAGCTGCATTTACTTTTTCTTCAATTATCGTCATGTTCCTCTCCAATCAAATGACTTGTCAAATTGATGGAGCCATGCATTTGAAAATCAGATTAGATTAAAGAATAAAAATCCTCCTTTTATGTTCCCTTCCACCAATATACCCGGACTACATGTAGCATGTTAATTATTATTTTATTTGAAACAATTTTTCCTTTTTCAGGGTCGTGGCGGGCCTGGATTGGTTACAAATGCTGGTTAGCTTTCTTTATCCTAAACGTCTTTTGGCTTATGGTTTGTGCAATAAATTCGAATTGTTTTCTTTAAGTTTTGTCTTAACATTAAAGATGCTCATAAACAATTAGGTGGCCCAACAGCCCATGGGGAATCCAGTCAACTTCAACCAATTGGTCTTCATATAGCAATAACTGCTGCTGCCGTCATGGCAGGAGCCCTTGGTGGTGCACAAGCTGCTTCTAATCAGAATATTTTGCAGAGTACAACAATGCCCAATGATCCTTTAACTCTGCATCTGGCTAAACTTTCTAGGAGTCAACTTACTGAAGTTATGTCAGGGCTAAAGGTAACCTTTTGAGTATGTTCCCTCTTCTCTCCTCATTCTTCTGAATGGCTCCTGATGATTGGTATATTGTTTGGACTTAGGTAATGGCTACACAAAACAAGGATTTAGCTCGTCAGCTGTTGCTGGCAAGACCACAATTGTCAAAAGCTCTTTTCCAGGTACCTATTTACCCTTTCTCTTTTGTCGTCTCTTCAAGTGCGGAGATCCTCCATAATATCTTATCTTTGTGACTTTCTTTTTCTGTAGAATCCTATTTTCCTAATTACTACTAGTTATTCTCTTAGTTCAGTGTCAATTCCATTTAAATACGCTTTTATTTCCAAAGGTAGGTGATGCTCTTATTTAAGCTACCCTTTAGCATGCCTGTTTTCTTTAAGCTACCGTCCAAGGTTTAAACGTTATTAGAGATTTATTTTGGGAAGGTTCTAGAGAAGAGGGTGGTATGTAATATAAATTTGGAGAAACTCAACTTTCAGCTAAGGAATTCAGCTGTTTTGGCTGAATGAATTTGGAGATGTTGAACGAGGGAGATGCTCTTTGGCACAATATCATTGTTGGTAAATTCTATAATTCACAGGCAGATTCTATTTAGCCAGGACAGATTATTGGAGGTGCTCCTTGGCGTTTCATTTGTCCCATGATTTTGCTCATTATAGGCGCCTTGGAAATGGCCTTTACTCATCCTTCTGGAAGGATTCTCAGTTGAGTGGTTGCCCAGGCTTATCCAATATTTTTTCGGTTAACTAATAAACCTAATCTTACGGTTGCACAAGCTTGGAACATTCTGAATGTTGCATGGGATTTGAGTCTTCATAGTCATCTAAAAGATATTGGAGGTGGCTGAGTTTAATTTCTTCCAATTTCTTTCCCTCATAACTTTTCGTTGAGAAAATGACTCTTGGAATTGGTCTCTGGATACTTCTAATTCCTTTACAGTTAAATCCCTATGAATAATCTAGTTCATGCATTCAGTCCTTGTTCGAACTACCCTTAGCGATTTGGAAATAAGCTTATCCCAAGACAATAAACGTTTTTTTGTGGTAGCTTTGTCTTGGAGAATTAATACGGCCGATCGATTTAGAATGCCTCATTTCACTCTCTCCTTGTTGTGTGATGTGTGTTTGTAGTTCAGAGCATCCTTGCCATCTTTTTGCTAACTGTTCTTTTGCCTCTCAATATTGGGTTTCATGCTAGATATTTCCCTAACTATTCTTTTGCCCCCACTATTGGGTCTTAATGCTAGATGTTTCTGGCTGGTCTTTGGTTTTGCCAAAAAACGTTTTTTATTCTTGGAATTCAATGTTTGTCGGCCATCCTTTTCATGAAGTAAAAAAGAATCTATGAATAGTCTTCTTTTGGTATCTTTAGTGCGAAAGGAATGAAAGATTTTTCCTGGAGGCTTCCCTACATTTGGTAGGTTCTTATAACATTCTCCTTTTGATTTCCAATTGGAAAGCCCTTTTGTAATTCACCTCTTGTTGATGGTAGAATTTAAAACTCATTTCATTTCATTTAGGAGTGAGATTGTGTCCAATTCTATTATCTCTGTGTGAAAGCAATGTTGATGAATTTCTACTTTATGCTACTCTTATGATCTTATTGTCTACGTGCTTCTACATTCTAAACACGTTTATGCCATCCATTTCTTCCAATTCTAGTAGTTACATGGGTTAACATTAATACGAAAAAAAGAAAAAAAAAAAAAACTATTAGGAGCTATTCATGACGTGAATAAAAATATGAGATTGAAGGTGACTGGTGAAATCTAGGTTGTTTTTGAAATGTGAATGGAAGCCATAAACGTCAAGGAAACCAAAGTACCAATCTCAAAACCTAATTTTGGGTTAAATTTTGATTGAAAATCAATGTTGTTAGAATTACAATAGCTTTTTTATTTAGAGAGAGAGATAAAGGAACAGAAAAGACTTCAAATAAATATTTGGGAATCAAGATTGCTGTAATGTGTTTATATTTATCATTCTACCTTATTTCGTTGACAATAGTCTTTCTTTTTCCTCCAAATTTAATGGACTATATCTCTTTTCGTATGCAACATCAGCTAAGCATCTTTATTTTCCATCTTTTCTGAAATTTTGTTTGCAGTCACAGATAATGCTTGGAATGGTCACTCCACAAGTGGTATTTCTCTTCACTGCTTATATTTGCCTTTCCTTTTTTCTGCCTGTTCTGTTAATTGCTGTTAAAATTTTCTCACGAACGATCCCGTTCTTTTACTGTTGCAGTTGCAGAATCCTAATTTACGGCAACCTTCAACTCATCCTCAGCTTCCTTTGCATGACATTCAGCAGGGTCAGTCATCATCTCTTCAAATTCAACCAGGGCTGCCCCCTCTTGCACCCAACAGAATGCAGACTGGTTTTGTACCTAAAAAAGAAACTCAAGTATCTATCACGCCTCAAAATCCTTTGGCTCCCCATCAGTTTTCTGCGTCCCAACGGCCTCCGCTTCAGTCTCAAATTCAGCCCGCACTTGCTTTACATGGCACTTTGACCGGAATACCTGGAGGCTCATTGCTTCCTTCTGTAAGTTTGCCGGGAAGTATGTCTGTTAGACAACAGGTTCAGGTGCCCACCTCTGCTTCTTTAAAGCAGCACATGCGTCCCCCTTCTCAACAGTATTCAGGACATGGTGGAGCTGTAATTCCAGGGCATAATGCTCAGATTGCTAACCCAGAAGCTAAACCTTCTCTTTTGCCTCGCCCTTCCTTACCAGATGCAGACTTTCAGGTTATCCTTTATGTTATTTTTTTGAAAAAAAAATCATAATTTTATATATAAATGGCTCAGAACTAGAACATAGGTGTCAAAGCTATCTTGGCAAAAAATTCACGTTTTTCTTGGAGAGCAGGTGGGCCCAGTTTGCTTCTTAACCTGGAGTCTACCTTAGATAGAATGACAAGTTAATTTTAAGCTTTAACTAAACGCAAAGGTGGAGGGTGAACAATAATACAACTAGCTCTTATGTTGATGTTTTGCTGGCTGTTATAATTGTAAATTGAAGTGTTCTTAATTTATCTTCTTTCACATGTATGATCAAGAACTGTGGCTTTTCTTATCATGGTCGTAGCGTTCTATTGATGGTTATATGCTTAATCGTTTTTTTTCCCTTTTTAAGAAAAGACAAACTTTTCATTTGTATATGAAAAAAAAAAAAAAAAAGGTGAACAGTCTTTGGAGTGTGCTCCCCTTGGTTCGGAAGTCTTTTTTGTTTTGTTTTGTTTTGTTTTTCTCGGTTATGATATCGTCTTCTTGTTTCTGACTTGCGCTTCGTAACAGCCTGGCTCCTCCGCAGCTTATGGTGCTTCCCAGATAGTGGGCAGTGATGCTGATAAGTCTTCTCAAGTACTTCTTGGTGTAGATGGTAAAAGAAAAATACCTCATGGCTTTTCAGGAACAACTAATCGCCCTGTAAAGCAGATCAAATTAGAGGATGGAAAAGGCAGCCCTTTCTCGACCGGAGGTCTAAGTGCATCAGTAGGTAACAATGGAGCTAGACAACTTGGAATTGCCTCAGACCCCAATCTTCCGGGGATTCAAATCTCAGAGAAACCGACTTCAATGGTACGCGATTTATTGCAATGCAACATTCCTAATTGAAAAATATTTACTCACTTTGTTACTCGTCTTAATTTGGTTGAATTTGTGGCTGCAATTTCCGTTTTTTCAATATGAGTTTGTTCTTTATAATTCTCTATCTGAATTAGTTCTTAGCTCTCAATGCTCATGTCAAATAGGAGAGTTATGTAGACTTTCTAATTAAGTGCTTTTAGAATTGTCAAAATCACTTTTGACTATGCAATGAAACACATTGGAAGTACTTTAAATTGGCTAAAAGTCGCATCGACTCACATGACCAATCCAAGGTTTAATTTCATGATATATATGTGTGTGTATGTATGTATGTATATGTATATATATATATATGTATATTCTCCAAGTTTGTACTACTTTTATTCATGAGAGCCATAAAATATCTTGTTTTAGTTCAAGTCTGTGGCCCAAAATCCTCATAGCAGAACAACATGATGGATGTGGGTTGAGAATTTTATCTAGCTATCAGTTTTAGTTCAAAAGCATCACCATTTTCTTTGTGTAATTGCATTCATAGCCAAATCTGCTTTGTGTAATTGCATTCATAGCCAAATCTTTGTGCTTCCCGTAGACAATTTTAGACAATTTTATTGATGATTGAAATTTAGGAAAGGAATGTATAATCCATAGTATTTTCAAAAGACCTTCCCAATTTGCAATAAAACTACTGCTAGAGCGTTCCCATTTTCGTTCCTACGGATTATGAAACTACTACTAGAGCGTTTCAATTTGTATTAATTTGAGTGCCTCGATTCATTCTTCTTTAGTTTCTTTGTTATCATTTTTGTATTCCTTTTTTCACTCCCTGCAGTTTGTATCTTGAACCTTTTACTTTTTTCATTAAGCAATGAAAAGCTTGTTTCGGTTAAAAAGAATGCGTCCCTATGCCAAGATTTATGCATGTGAAGTTCATCATTCTGGTGAAATTTATTGATTTTTTCAGCATCACGACTGAAAGTTTCTTGTTCTTTTCCCTAATCTTTTCCCTCCACAGCTTCCCCACGACGTCGAGTCTGCATTACTGCAACAAGTTTTGAATCTAACTCCCGAACAGCTTAACTCGTTGCCGCTCGAACAGAGGCAGCAAGTTATTCAGCTCCAGCAAGCACTTCGCAGAGATCAAATGCGGCCATCCTAGCAAGCAACTTACCGTCGATCAACCCGCACTCTTGCAGCTCAACTCCAAGCACAAGTAGATTGTAAAATATTTGGCTCCCCAAAGATTTAACGAGTGACAGTCTAAACACCTGTAAAATTATGCTTGCCAAAGTTGTCCAAAACCGACGGGTCCTGCCAACGAGGTACGAGTTCCATAAACAACATTCATGTAAGGCTTACAAGTTTGTGATTATAGTGATTCCTGAATAATAACAATTCAAGATAGGGTGGAAGAATTTTGATTTTTCTCAGGTCTCTCTCTTTGCCACTTTTGCTTTTGCACCCCTTTCCTTTACGTCGTTTTCAGATTCTCGAGCTGCTATTTTATGGTTTCGGGTCATTGTTTCTCTGCGTTCTGTTGCTTGGATCTTAATTTTGTTCCTTAATGTCGATGTTCGTTTCGTTATATGTAATATTTCATTAAGGATTTGGTTAGTTTATAAAAGAAAAATTGCTAATTTGGATTCCTGTTCGTTTTCTGAAAATCATGCTTGTTAATTAATTATCTTTGTTTCTATAAACTACAAAAGTTCAAGTTTTATTATTGTTTTTACAAGTTGACTGAGATGAACATAAATGGTTGGTAGATTGAAGTCAGGTTTCATGATGATTTCTTTCTTGTTCTAACAGTTTGTTTGTTCGGATGCAAGTGTACAATATCTTTCACTTCACCGATATCTTTTGTGTCGGGTGGAGCATTCGTGTCCCCTCTGACGCCTAAACCAAAACCGGCGCAAGTTGCGCTAAGGAGCTCAAACGAATAAGCTTGCCTCCTGCCCCGATCTCGGTGTGCGAGAGGCAAAGCATTCTTGTCGTATTATTCACGACTCTCGGCTCTACTAACCTACCATTTACGCAGAGCCCTAAACCGCCTCTACTAACCTAAAAAAAGAGTGTTCTATTACAAATATACACGCCATCTTTTCCATCTTCCTCCGTGCCATTTACGCAGAGCCCTAAACCGCCTCTACTAACCTACCATTCCTCTTCTCCGCCTCCTCCTTCGGCACCACCACCGCCGTCAAAACTCCATTCTCCAAATCAACTCTCTCTCCGACAGCCGGAACCGCCGCTCCACCCGGTGCCATTTTCGTCGTCTTGTTCCTCTTCTTTCACTCGCTCACCGCTGACGTCGAGGACTCTGCCGGCTTCGATCTGCACCTTCAGATCCTCTCTCCTGACTCCTGCAGCGATTGTTGCTGTTATGGTTAGGGTTAGGGTTAGGGTTAGGGTTAGGGCGGTGGCGTAAGTTCGTGAGTATGGCTTTAGCGAACTCGCAGGCGGGTGAAATCATGGCGCATAATGCGATTCCGCACCCTATCCCCAAGGTTTCCCTCTCCCTACGCTTTACCATTGAAACAGATTTGGATGCATTTCTACCCTATCATTTACATCATTTATTCGATATACACATATACAAATTATAATATTATTGTTCGAAAAATTTAAAACCAACTCATAATTTTTGTGGTTGAAAGCAAAGCATGATTAATCATGAAGTTGATTGAGTCACCGATCAAGGTACATCTTGATCTTGATGTAAGTACAGTGAGTGACTTTTAATTATCGGTAAACTTTTCTTAATCATTCTATCTTTAAGACTGTTCTCATATCTTGTACCTCTCATTGATTCGAGTGTCACATCTTTAATGACAACAAACGGCAACTTTCTAAGTAATAAATATGATTTTTAGGGCTAAATAACATTCGCAACGTCTTAAAGTTGTATTAATAAAAATCTTAGATTAATAATTGTATCAATTTAAACTTTGAACTTTCGTAATTATGTCAATTTACACAATTTGTGTTATTTGTTTTTTTTAAGTTATATACGACTTATCAATTAAAGGCTTAAATTGTTGTAAGTAAATCAATTTAAGATCTCGATTTAAAAAGCATCCATTATTACATGTACACACTTATTAAATTTATTTAATCTAGACATCAACTATTTGAAAGGAATTATCTAAATTGATATATTTATAAAAAGTTGAGTTGAATTGATATAATTAAAAATTTGAAGGCTAAATTAATAAAAATAGTTTACGTATTATTTAATCTAACTTTCAAATAATTGAAAGGAATTATCTAAATGGATTCATTTATAAAAATTGAGTTTAATTATATAAATAACTATTTGAAAGCTAAATTAATAAAAATACATTAAAAAATATTTTTAAACTTTTAAAATTTTATTAATATCTTCAAACTTTTAAAAAAGTTTTATAAAGAACCTTATTTCAAAAATACCTTTAAATTTTAAAAGTTCTATTAATACCTTCAAATTTTTAAAAATTGCGAGAAGTTATTCTTTAAAAATATTCGCACAAATTTTAAAGTACATTAACAACTTTGACCTCATAAAAAAAATAATTAAAATTTGTTTGTAATGTCTTGAAACCGTTTTCTAACTTTTGAAAGCTCAGCGTTCATCCCTATACTAACCATAATAATATTTTTGAACTTTTAAAAAAACTTTAACGTTTTTAAATTTTCTTAAAAATTTAAAGGTATTTTTGAATTTTTTAAAAAAAATTAAAGGATATTAATGAAACTAGTTATTTTTTAAATCATTTTAAATTTTTTAGGGATTTTAATTTTTAATTTTAATTTTTTTTTTGAAATTTAGGAGTATTTGAAACGAAAATTTATAAAAAATTTAAGAGTATAGGACATTTTTTTAGAATATATATATATAAATTTTAAACATAAAGAAACATTTTTTTAAATTAAAGTGAAGTCATAAATGGATATATTCATAAAAGTTGGGACTTTAAATGATTTTTTTGATCTCGTAGCAGTAATACTAATAATTGAACTTTAAAATTGAACTTTAAGAATTTGGAAAGTGCTTTTCTCGTTACACAAGCGTGGAGTGGATCGAATAGCACTTTCTCATCAGCTGCGCTTCCCTTATCTCCATCACACTTCCCCACCAACCCCCAAAGATCCACACCGCCCCCATGGCCGACATGATTGTCCGTTTCGGAATCATCGGCGCAGCCGAGATTGCTCGGAAGGTTTCTCGTGCCATTGCTCTTGCTCCCAACGCCACTCTCTCGGCAATCGGCAGCCGTTCCGTTGAAAAGGCCTCCAAATTTGCCGTCGATAATGGTTTCAGTCCTCAGGTTAAAATCTATGGTTCTTACGAAGCTGTTCTTGACGATCCTGAAATCGATGCTGTCTATGTTCCTCTTCCGACTAGTCTTCACTTGCGCTGGGCCGTGCTCGCTGCCGAGAAGAAGAAGCACTTGCTCCTTGAGAAACCTGTAGCGCTTAATGTATCTGAGTTTGATAAGATCCTCGAAGCGTGTGAAGCCAATGGAGTGCAGTTCATGGACGGTACCATGTGGATGCATAATCCTCGTACGGCCTTGATGAAGGAATTTCTCTCCGATGCAGAACAATTTGGCCAGCTCAAATCGGTATGTGATTCAAATTCCATTCAGAATGATGTAATTCATATACTGTACTCTTTCACTAACTGCGATCATGCTGGAAACTTGAGAAATTTGAGTCGTCAGTGCTAAAGCCTTTGATTATGGTTATTTGACAAATATCTAGATATTTGCCTCCTATTACAATTTACCTGACCTTTTAGGAAAATATCTGTTCAAATTTTTCCTGCACGGACTGTAAATTAGGGCTGTTTTTCGTAGTCTGGTCTTTCTTGCTTGGTAAATGCTTGTGCACCGGCGTACAGGCAGGCTGCCGTGTTGCTCATCCAAGTTATGGTCATGGTCGAACAAGATGATATGAAATGAAATGGGTTGCCCTTTACCTGACATATGTAGGCTTTTCTAAACAAGAAACAGTTCAATTTGTTGATCAAATGAAGTCACTAAAGATGGAGGATCCTACCTTTAGGAATATTACAAACAACTTTTCCAATGGGGTATGAGAGATGTGAGGCTATAATTACAAAAAGATGGATACTATTTACATGAATGAAATGCTAAAAAGTAGTAGAGAATATAAGATCGGTGCTTGTTCCTTTTATGAGTAGATGCGAGTACTTCTCGTATCTAGCTTTGTTTATTTGATGGGGAGAATCGGGCGGGTGGAGAATCGGGCGGAGTTAGGGAATATAATTCTCGTATCTAGCTTTGTTTATTTGACGGGGAGAAACCTCTTATTGCTCCCTCTCGCATTCCCCATTTAGATGGGGTTTCCTGACCTCGATTGGGGTAGATCCCCGTGGATTAAATGGACATCTCTATTTCAATGATTGACAAGTGAAAGCGAGAGAAAGACCCTTTACTTTATACTCTCATGAGTTCACAGGTCTTTACTATTAACATTGCAGTTGTTAATCTTAACATTGCATTTGTTTGCTGAAAAGCATTGCAATTGTACGCATGGTAGTTCTGATATATGGTACATATGTTATAAAGTTTGAGTGAACTAGCTCTATGATATAGTTATGAAGAAAAAGGTTAAATTTTGTTAATATATTTTATACCCATCGTTTGCACGTGTTTTCGTTGTACGATCAATGATTAGAAGTTCAAATTTTCTTCTGGTTTTGGACAATTCATTGATTTGTAGATTGATCTTTTTTCTGTTCTGAACATCATAGGTAAACAGTGTTTTTTCTTTTGCGGCTGATGCCGACTTCTTAGCTAATGATATTCGCGTGAAGTCCGACCTTGATGGTCTTGGTGCTTTGGGTGATGCTGGATGGTACTGTATTCGTTCCATTCTTTTTGCTGCCAACTTTGAACTGCCTAAACGAGTGATCGCATTTCCTAATCCTGTGTTGAACGAATCGGGCGTGATTTTATCGTGTGGAGCTTCTCTCTTTTGGGACGATGGGAAAATAGCAACCTTCCACTGCTCGTTCTTGTCAAACTTAACCATGGATATCACCGCCATCGGAACAAACGGGACATTACATGTGAATGATTTCATTATACCTTATGGAGAGAAGGAGGCCTATTTCTGTACCAATTCAAAATCTGGTTTCACTGAACTTGTGACTGGTTGGGAACCGCTACCAAGCAAACATATAGTCCCTACTGATCTTCCTCAGGAGGCTCACATGGTGAGAGAGTTTTCTCATTTGGTTAAAGAGATCAAAGCAAATGGCTCCAAACCCGAGAAGAAGTGGCCGAACATCAGTCGAAAAACTCAGCTGGTGCTTGATGCAGTGAAAGCGTCACTCGATGGAGGATTCAAACCTGTTGAAGTCGGACCGTGATTCCTACGGTATTCTCATTTGATCTTGTATTGAACTTCAATGTGTTAGTCTATGATTGTGATTAGGTTCCTTTGCACTTGAATGGTTCTACCAATCTGATATATGATTGCTTGTGCTTGTAACTAGTCTTTAGGCTTGCATCAAGGATGAAAAGCTCTGCATTTATCAAGATTTACTCAAGTCTCGAAGAGCCATAAACTGTGAGAGAAGCCAATCCTTGAGGATAATTATATGGTTGATCTTTGTCAATTGAGCTGATGCTATTCAAATGTTTTTTACTTCAATTCGGAAGATATTTTAGAGTCGGATTAGGTAAGTGTTTTAATAACTTTATCATCAAAATGTCTAATTTTATTAGATGTCTATGGGAAGGGGACGGAGAAGCCTTCTCCATTCCTTTTCTTGGCATATATATATAACTGGTGGTGGGGTCGGGATTCTCCGTCTCCGTTTAGCTAATGGGTAGAAATCTACCTTTTCCATTTTCTATTTAAACGATAACCATTTGGGGTCAAGATTCTCCGTCCCCGTTCAACTAATGTGGAGAAATCTACCAGCTCTCTTTTCAATTTTTTATTTAAACGATATCCGACCCGTAGGTTAATAGATATATATACGATGAAAGAGGTTAATCTCTTTTAGAGTAAATTTGATGGTTGAATGATAAACTTTTGTACGTAGAGTTTATGTTCTAACTTAATATTTTTTTTTATAATATAATATTATAAAATATTAAGAATAAAAAGTTTAAATAATGGATTTTCCACCCTCATAGATTTCAACTTTTTAATTATAATTTCTTTAATAAAATTATTACCATTCACATATTCTATTAAATTAGGGACTAAAAATTATATTGTTGTTTTTACAAAAAGAAAAAGAAAATTATATAGTTTTTTTTTACAAAAAGAAAAAAAGAAAAAATTTAATAAATGTTATATAAGTGTGAAAATTATGGGTTTATAATTTTAAAATCGAGTTATATTAAAATATTTAATTTAATTAAAAAAATAGTTTTAATCGATTTGAGATTTTAACGATGTATAAATTGATATTTTTTGGGTTTATTATTTTGTGTATAGGCACATAATATCTGTTTTTACGGAGAACACAGCGTTTGACAGATAAAATTCTATAAATCATTTCAAAGCAATTTCGCTCGGCCTAGAATTTCATGTTGTGGCCCAATTCGTCGTCCATCTGTTCAAGAAATTTGTGGAACCTGCCTCGTCAATCAGATCCATTTCCATTCTGATGAAGAAACATTGTTCGGTAGCCGAATAATCTGTTTATCAAGCATCAGAGATCGTTGCTACTTTCGGAAATCGACTTTTTCTTTAATTACATTGATTATCTGCTCGATTGTCAAGTCTCTTGTGTTTCCAATTCTTGTTTACTTCAAGATGATGGTCGAGGATCTCGGTATCGAAGCAAAGGAAGCAGCCGTACGCGAGGTTGCCAAGCTTCTGCCGCTTCCGGAGCTTCTGCAGTCAATTAGTTCGATCAAGGCCGATTACATTACTCGTCAGCAGGTACTTGTTTTCAGCGTTTTTTTTTTCATCACATTCTTCAACTCTTATGATCTTCTGCGACATCTGCGTGAATTTTCTATTGCTGAATTTTTGTTTCCAGCTCTTGTGCTGGAGCTTTGCTGGCAGTAATTCTATTGATAGGATGTAGAGCAAGTGATCCAAATTTTCTTTTATGTTTTGTTGAAATAGTTACTGCAGTTGATGAGTCTTTGATTTAGTTTAGACAAGAAATGCTAGAATGTTGCAACATCACTCATCTGGATAGTGATTTTAGCTATTTTTCGGACTCAAAATTTCTCAATTCCTCACCTGAAGACTTACCTTATGCATTTAAGACTTTAGAGCACTTGCACTTAAAAATCTACTTCATCCTCTCATTCATAGGAACGTATAGGGGACGTAGTCTACCAAATTCCAGGGGTTGATGATTTTAAATAGTTGACAAATAATGTACTTCTGAGAGCGATGAATTTAAAAAATTTGCTGCAAACACAAATCGTGAATGAAGGTTTTAACTGTAACACTTGTACATGCTATGAATTGCGGATCTCACTTAAGCTTCACAAGATGAGGCTAATTTTTGATTGCACTTAAATTCTCTGGTAATCAAGTTTGGATGTTGCACGCTACACCGAGGTACTCTTGATCATGTGAACACCAGAACATAAATTCTCCCCTTTTGCCTAATATTGCGGCATAGTTGGGGTACTTGATTAAATTTCTCGCTGAAAATGCAACATATGTTTTATAGATGAAGGGAGTTCTATAGTTTATCGTTGCTGTAAGCAGTGTAAAAATAGATTTAATTCAACTTCCTGCCATAGTATCGGTTAATTCATAATTGTATCAATGCTTATAGTTATTGATTTCAAAATATGTTTTGTACAGATGAAGCGTAATTGTCTGTATTATGATGTTCTATTCTGGCACGATTACTGTGTGCTTCTGAGTGTTTTATCTTTCTGCTAATCATATTATGTTTTCCTAGTTTTGTGGGGTTTACTGAAAATAGTTAATGCTTCATTTTCAGGCTAATGATGCACAACTCAGTACAATGGTTGCGGAGCAGGTATAGCTGACAGCTTCTTCCATTATTTCTGAAGAGATCTGCTGTCTCACCATTGTGTATTCCCATATTTACTAATGGACCAAACGTTCTGAGATGCACTCGAAGATAAAATAGCTTGTGTTGCTCAAATAGTCTTGCTTTCCCAACGTGAATGCAGGTTGAACAAGCACAAGCTGGACTGGAGTCGCTTTCTTTATCTGAAAAGTCAATAAACCAGCTTCGAGAAAACTTTATTTCAATTGAGAAGTATGAAAATAGATGCACTGGCAGTCAAATAACTTTCTTGATTCAAGTATCGTGATAACTCAATTGCCTTGTGCATTCAGGTTATGTCAAGAATGCCAAACATTAATAGAGAACCATGATCAGATAAAGCTCCTTAGCAATGCAAGGAATAACTTGTTAACAACCTTGAAGGTCAGCCTTCTCCTTAATTATAAATGTAATTAAATGCTAAAGTATGTCTCAAATGTGCCCTTGGAATTTAACACACTCTTGGATGATTTATGTGGCTTTCTTTTTATCGCTTTTGTTCTTTTTATTTTCACAAACTTTTAGGTCTTTATAGCATTTTAGTCGCATTACTTGAGAAATTGGTTGTAAATTAAACTTATACACGTGGGGTTGCAATTGCATCAAGTACCTAGGCCATTAATTTAACAATCCAGCAATCAACTTTTCTTCTAGCAAAATCTTGCATGTCCAACATGATATACTTAATCCATAAATCAATTTTCTCGCTTTAAGTTCAAGACCTTTTAATTTTATTTATTTATCTATTTGTTTTCTCTCCATGGTGGTTAGCTGTATTTTTATGGTGTTATAGAACTAATGTTCTATGCCTTGAATAGGATGTTGAGGGCATGATGTCCATATCTGTTGAAGCGTCTGAGGCCCGAGATTCTTTGAGTGATGCAAAAGAGCTTATAAACACTTACGAGGTGAAGTGGTCTTATTGTAGTTGTTAAGGTTGAAAAGTTTTCTCATCATTTTGACATTTGAGCATTTTTTTTTCAAAACTAAACAGCGTAGTATCTTCATGTAGCATTTCATGCATTTATAATCTGGCCCTTATAATTCTTCCCATTACATGCACACTTGTCACAGAGGCTAACTGCACTTGATGGAAAACGGAGGTTTGCTTTGGCAGCTGCAGCATCTCACAAAGAAGAGGTTGGGAGACTAAGGTATGTATTTGTTTTTTGTTAACCTCTTCTTTTTGTTCTTTTACCCTGAATGTAGATCTATCCTATTTTCGTTAGGGAATAAAACAAACTACCTGGTATTTGCAATTACATGCAAATATCCTCTAGTTTAGTATCCACTTTAACTTCTTATTTGGAATGAAAGGAGCTCTAGGATCTTTCAAGACAAAGAAAGATCCCCACATGAGGTCCCAGAGGCCTCACCTTTTTTGGCTCTTTATTGGTGTAGAAATAATGTTTACCAGCAAGAGCTTAAATTCTCTTCTATCCAACTGGAGAAGTTTTCTGTAATCTCTTTGGCTGGGTTTTCTCTTTTGTATCCTTTCATTTGATCAAGAAATTGTTTCCTCTCCAAATTTTTTTCAATATCTGATCTGTGGTTAGTATTGAAAAGTGGGATTTTATAAAAAAATCTTCGTAATTTTTTTTTATCAGTGGCTGCTTTTGCCTTGTAGGGGTCTGGCCCTTCCTCCTTGTACATTTCATACTTTCAATGAAATCCGTTTCATTTTTTTTTATATCTCTAACCATGTCTAGAATAATTTTACAATAATGGAATTCAATGGTAAACTTAAGTGGCCTACTTATTTGGGTATTCGAAGTTTTTAGAGGAACTAGCTATTGTTGGTGGGACAATGGTAAGAGGGCAGAGAGAATACTTCAGTCTTTAGAAATTCTCTATGGGTAATTTCATTTATTAGGATAACAAACGATTAAATAAACTTAGGATGATGGTCATGGTGAAATTTTGGTTCTATTTAGTTGTTTAAGTTAATGTTATTTTATTATAGTTTTATCAATCTTTTTTTCTGATACATAGCGTGACCTTCCCTGCTTCCTAACCTTTGGAATAAACAACAGAGAATATTTTGAAGACGTAGATCGAACGTGGGAAACATTTGAGAAGACCTTATGGGAACATGTGTCCAACTTTTATAAACTTTCTAAAGAGAGGTACATTGTGTATAGTTTCAATGATATTATTAAATTTAATGTTGTCTCTTATTATTTGAATTTCTAGTTTTTTACCTCCAAAAAAGATTGGTTCTGTTATATGAGACATTTTTTTTGTCAACAGTTGTGTTTTTCTTGTTTAATCTAACTAATTTATTAACTAATTTTATTTGTTTGTACCTCATTACTTCTTGGAGGTTGATCTTGGACTATAGTTTTCATATTCTTTGATTTGGTGTCCCTTTGGAACAGGGAGGTATAAATTCTGATTATCTTCTCTAGATAAAATGTCTAGTGTATTATATAAAATATTAACATTTTTTTAATAGGAGAAAATATAGTATAATGAATAAGGTGATTTTTTGGGATTTACACTTATTTTCTAATTCACGAAGCATTTCGTCATTTCTTTTTCCCTCCCATGTCTTTGTGCCTAGGTATCCACCCGACTCTCCAACATTCATTTGTCTCAAAATAACCTTTTGTTAGGATCCTTGTATCTAGGGGTTGGCAGATTTGCAAAAAGATGGAGTGAAATTCAAACATCCCGATGTGGGATTTTTTGGAGAGGAATTTTTTTTCAAATAACTGTTTTCTTGTCCCATAATTGGTGTATTATCTTGCTAATATGCTGAAATTCATATCTTCAGCTTAGCTTGTGGAGTCATTTTGGATTTGATTTGATGAGTGTGAAACGACCATTATCTTTATAAGTTTTTTGTTTTGGTGGAAACTCAAAGATGATATCTATGCTTTTGAATTCTGAAGTGAGGACTCATGAATATTCTACGAGTTAATATAATAAAAGAAAAACTTGTACATATCTGGTATGCACTTTAGACGGATTTTTGGGATTGTGACTTGCTGAGGAAGACGTGGGAAGATTTTGTAGGGGAGCAATCATGGCTTCCTTAAGGTTGGAAGATGGATTCCTCCTCCCTCACCCCCTTCCCGTTTGCTATGAACAATATAGAATTGAGTAGCCAAGTTTTGTTAGTTATGTAGGTGAAATCTTGCCAAATTGTTGTGATAATAATTTAATGTCCAGTACAAAAGGTTTGTGTGTGTGTGGGTGATTTAAACAACTGTAAAATGGGTTAATATAGATAAAAACATTCGGCTGGAGAACTTATTCATTTATAAAGCTTCATTTGTAGCCGTAATTATGATTTTGATCCTTTTTGTACTCTTTTTCTAACTGTGTAATTTTTTCCACTTTGCAGTCCACAAACATTGGTTCGTGCTATAAGGTACAGACATATTGACATTTGCCAATCTTGGGCTAAATTTTGTTTATTGTAGTAATTCAGTTAGAATAATCATACATATGTTTTGGATCTCATAATGCTGAGAAAGAACTCAGAAGTTTGTGAAGAATTAGAATCACCTATCCTTCTATATTTCCAGTTTCCTGATTATCTTGAAAACCGTATGGTATTTAAGTAGTCCCTGGAGAGAAAATTTAAGAGAGAGAGACAGAGAGACAGAGAAACGATGAAGGAAAAGTGGTGATATCTTTAGCTGTCTGTTGATACTTCCTCCATTTCTTTTATGTTTGATGGAGGTAAAAGGTATACTTCATTATGCTATGTGATGCTTTAAAGGTCATGTCTGATCCTATCCTTCATCGGCTCTATTCAATAATCACATGTGAGAGAAAATGAGGGCTAAGGGTTCTTCCAGGTTATAGAAAAATTTATGTGATCTAAATCAGATACAATTGGTCAGTCTTTTCTTTTTTAGTTCAGGACAACTAATTTTTGACATGTAAAAAATGATGGAATTTTCTTTATGTGACTGCCAACTCTCAACTCCCATGAAGAAGCTGAAAGATAGTGTTATTTCTCTTGTTCAATCTTGTGATTGTACAATATCAATTTTCTTTTGCATAGACAAGAAACTTCGTAGGCTTATATGCATTTTGGTTTGTTCCACTATTGAAAAAATTCTTGTTCAATCTTAGCTACCCTATTACTTGTTCATAACTTTACTAAAGGTAGGAGGAACAAAAAGGTGAGCCTCAGTGCAATTTTATTTTCTTACTTTCTGTGGTGTTTATATTTTCTATATAGAATAACTGCCATTTGATGTGGGGATATGATGAAATGCAAAGAAATCCTCAATTAATTATTTCTTCTAATTCTTTAATTCCTTAAATCTTGAGATAGAAGTTTCTGGGAAATCCTTGTTAGAATTTTTTAGGATAGCTAATTTGACTCGAAATTATTTTGTGCATATGTCAATTATACCTTTTTAGAGTCGTTGAAATGCAAGAAATTCTCGATCAACAACTTGCTGAGGAAGCAGCTGAGGCTGAGGGAGGTGGCGCAATGGCAACTGTAGCAAACCCTCGCAGAACCACAAAGTATATATTTTAACATGTTTAACTCATTTTTAGATAAATTATTTAGTGTTATTTTGTTGATCAATAAATTTTCAATTTAACAAACCAGAAAAACCACCACAGCAACAGCTTCTTCTAGAAACCTAACACAGCAAAAATTGAAGGCTCAGGGGAAACAATACAAAGACAAATGCTATGAGCAAATAAGGAAGACTGTTGAAGGAAGGTTTAGTAAACTTTTGACGGAGGTATTTCTCTTCAAACTTTGTATGGAAAAAAAAAATGAATTATACTTTTTACCGTCTTGGCTTCTTGTTAATGTGTCTCATGAAGTTTAATTCTCATCAGCTTGTTTTTGAGGACCTGAAGGCAGCTTTAGAGGAAGCTCGAACGGTACGCATCATCAAATATAAACCTTCTATGTTGTTTTTATTTTTATCCATCTCTGGTTTGGAATGAGGATCAGCAATTATGTTTTCTATGTAAAACTAATTGGCCAGATAATGACGTCAAAAATGATGGGTTAAGCTTTGCTGTGTTGCAACTTCATGAATCTTTTATTCTACACCTGTAGGAAGTGATTCAGAATGACAAAATATCTGAGTAGATTTTTAGACAGAAAAAGAATGAGAAAAACTAATGTTGCACCATTAGAACTACTTACACTCGGATAATTTGGTGGTACCTGAAGTTGGTCTATATCATGCAGTCCAAAGAACAATTTTATAAACAATCAGAGAAAAACCTATATTGGTGCTAACTAAACTATTTTTGTGCTTCGGGTGTAATTACAAAGTTTCTACTTTGTATAAAGAGCGCTTAAGATTGAGAACACAGAAAATCCTTAAAATTTAGATGTTGTAGTCTGATAAGCATTAGAATCATTAAAAACAAAATAATTTAATAAGTGGATATGTGGACGTCAAGATCATAGTTTTTGCCTCTCTACTAATAGGGAAGGTTATGAAATTCAAATATTTCCGGAAATTATTGATGTTTAGGTTGAATATATAGTTTAGTTCCTATGACTATTGGAGTTTTTTTTTTTTTTTAATATATTTATTTTTAGATTGGTCCCGAATCTTTAAATATTTCTTCCCTTATGTATAATGTATTGAATATTTTCAAATAATTCCTTTTTGTCGTAAAAATGATTTAAGTTAACTAACAAAATGAAGATGTAATGATAAAATACACTTCATTAATTCAGTAGAAAAATACCATATGTTCTAAATTGGTGAAACAGACATGCCATTCACATATAAACTAACAAATTTACTCCTTTCATATCAATTAGCACGCAGTAACTTACTTGACCTGAAATTGCTTTTTGTTCAAAAAAGTTAACCCATTAAAAAAATTGCTTTATCAACAAATTACAACCTCCTAATGACACCAATTTTAAATTGATGTATTCTCATTCTTTTGACATTTAGTGGTTGCAAAGATTTAATGGAGAACCGTTCGATGCATAAATGATGAAATAGAATTGTTTAAAAGATCAATGTCCAAATAAGGGAAAAAAACCAAATATTATGAAGTAAAATATATATTTAGCCTTGACTTTTATTTTTCTTAAAGACCTCAGACAGTTTATTTACAAAAGAAGAAGACCCCATGTGGATTGTGGACCATTCAGACAAATTAAAATCATTGCTCAAGCCTTAGAGCTCACTTGGTTATTATTCACTTTTAAACGTATTTGATGAGTTTCCAATGGTGACTTGTATTCACTTGGTTATTCTTCTAGTATCATATTATATATTAGACTCTTTGCTTAATCTTCCTCTTGCCATTACAATTTTTCACGTTTTAGATTGGAGAAGAGCTTGGTGATGTCTATGACTACGTGGCTCCTTGTTTCCCTCCAAGGTTTGCTTGTCTGATTGCTCTCCTTTAGATTTATATATTTATCATTATTTTGCGTAAGAAACAAGACCTTCTTTAAGCCCAACAAAAGATCCGCTGTAACTGGATTTGTGCTTCCTCATTTTAGCTTGTAAAGACTATGATTTGAAATTTCTTGGTAGCTGATAAGATACCTTGTTTCTTTGGATAAAATTATCATTTTTAGTTTTAAATAAATTAACCTTCCAACTTCTGATATTATGTTTTTGTAGATATGAGATATTCCAACTCATGGTCAATCTGTACACTGAAAGGTTCATTCAGATGCTCAGATTACTCAGTGACAGGGCAAATGACTTGACCAATATAGAAATTTTAAAGGTACTGGTTTTGTCTAAGCAGTCAGTTTTTTCATCTTATATCTCTGATCCTTTTTAAGGCGATGAATGTTGCCCTTGACTTCCGGATTCCATCTAAAGTGGTCCTTCCTGTGGGCAGAGACCTTGGTTTTTGGTTTTGATTGGATAACTAACATACATTTTTTTATATAGTACTCAGCAGATAACACAGAATCCTACTTCAGTATATTGATTAGTACGGGATAAAGAAAAGAGATCTCATAATAGTTTGCTTCTTAAGGTCATCGATATTTCATTTTGTGTTGAACAAAAACTTGTACCAAGGATTCTATTACATACACAGCTTGATTAATTCATAGATTTTGTGATATTGTATATCCCCGTGGAAGAAGAGGGGATTTTTCCCCAGCTTTGGTCATAATATTTTCAAATCATATTGGCACTGTTCTATATATATGCCAAATGGATTGACCCTGCTAGTCTGAACAAATTGTTTCTGGATATTTATTATTGAGCACTTTCAGTAGTATTTGCAGCATGCATATTTGTCATTAATAGCTTTCTTGCAAAGAGAACAAAAAGTGCAGTAATTTGCTAAAATCTCCAGTTCCTTCTTTAGGAATGATTCGACTACCACAATTTTAAATGATATCATGTTATTTGAGTGTTTATCATCACATGAAAATCTTCGTTTCTAAATTTTACTTTTCTTCCCTCGCTACTGGAGTTAGGTTACTGGTTGGGTTGTAGAGTATCAAGATAACCTGATTGGACTAGGTGTTGATGAGTCCCTGGCCCAAGTATGTTCTGAGAGTGGTGCTATGGATCCCCTGATGAATTCTTATGTTGAAAGAATGCAAGCTACTACAAGGGTAATGACATAATACGATCTGTCAATAATAATTTTAAGGATTATGATGTTGGAGTCACTGATCATTTTCAGCTGTTATCATTGTTGGTTCTTATGGTTCCTAGAAATGGTACTTGAATATCTTGGAGGCTGATAAGGTTCAACCACCCAAAAAAACTGAAGATGGCAAGCTGTATACACCTGCAGCTGTTGATTTGTTTAGGATCCTAGGTGAGCAAGTACAAATTGTTCGTGATAATAGCACGGATGTCATGCTTTACAGAATTTCCTTGGCTATTATTCAGGTGCGTTAGAAATTTTTTTGCACTCATGATGTAACTTTAACTACTACTAAAATTTCATTAGCTTATTAAGTATAACATGCACCTTTTCCCTTTTGTTACTATTATTCCTTTTTTAAATGGTTATTGAGCCAGTTTTTTTTCTTTTTTTTTTTTGGTCCCAAGGTAATGATTGATTTTCAAGCAGCTGAGAGGAAGAGACTTGAAGAACCTGCTTCTGAAATTGGTTTAGAACCTTTGTGTGCAATGGTTCGTCTTTTCTTACGTAGGATTTATTATATTTTTATGCTTGCATCGAAACTCCTGCTCTTACTACTTGATATTGAAAATACCTGCAGATTAACAACAACTTGCGTTGCTATGATCTTGCTATGGAGTTAAGTAATAGCACGATAGAGGCGCTCCCTCAGAATTATGCTGAACAGGTGATGCAATGTTGATCTCTGTGCGTTTTACTTTTTGTTATTATCTTGCACCTTGATGGTTAGATGTTTTCCACCATAAATAAATATTGTGAATTTTTCTTGAGAAATATATTATCCTAATGATTTTCTTTTTCTTTTTTTAAATCTTTACCTGCCTATTAATTAATAATTGCTACCCTATTTTCGGATTGAATCCATCCACATTCATCTCTCTCTGTCTTTTTAAAAAAATGGATGTTTTCTTCCGGTCTCTGGTCTTTCCATCTGTCTACGGCTATTTGTTTTTAATTGAATTTTGCATGATTTAGATAATCATATTGGGTTGTTTTTCGTTTCCAGTTTGGCTTAAAATTGGAATATGAAAAGTTCAATGATGTTTGAAAAAAAACATATTTTCGACAGACTTCGCTTCTACTGGGTGTCTGTGCCTCCTCTCTAAATACTTTTGTAATTTTGATTTCGTCCAAATTAAGCCCATCAGGAGTCATAAATTTTTCATAATTTCTTTTTTTTTTTGTACATCTTCTCCTTTTGGTTATTAATTTTTTTTTTCTTATTAAAGAAAAAGTGTGAATATCTGGGAAGATAGGGCCCTCAAAACTTATTTGATTTTGGTTTGTTTTCTCCCCATATTTCACCACAGATAAATTTTGAAGACACTTGCAAAGGCTTCCTAGAAGTTGCCAAGGTACTGGATATTTCAAGAATTTTTTCCTACAGTTGTTTGTGTTCTCTTTATCTTGATCCTTATGCGCAAGTATATTATATTTCTGAGGTAGGTTTGAGTCAATTCTCCAACGAAATGCCATATAACACACATTGAACTTTAGCCTTTGTAATGTCAGCCATGAAAAATGCGACTGTTTTTTATTTACTTATCAACATATTTAATATTATGTAAAATATTAAATTAAAAAAAGTTAATTTATGCCACGTAGCCATATGAAACTGTGCATCCTATTCTTGTTAAAAGAATGAACGGAAATGTAACTTCAAACTGTGCATCCTATTCTCGTTTTGAGTGACTTTTTGAAAATTTGGGACCAAATAGAATTTTTACTCAAATCTCAAGGCTAAAAGTGTAAATTTCCTAATAACGAGTTTAGATTTGAGACAACAAAAAATATAACTTCCTGAATCTCTTTTGCACTTCATCTGTGTCAAGGAACATTACACACGACTTCTTAGGAGTGATTTCATAAAATCTTGTCTATAATTTTTGTATCATGACAAAGAAATCTGTGAAATAACTAATATCTCAGCCTTCTATGTATTATCATTGCTTGGTAAATTACATTATAGGATCTTCGTTTGTACATTGATTTCATATTATCAATGAAATGATTAATCGTTCCCGAGAGAGAGAGAGAGAGATGATCTGGACTCAATAAAGGGATTCTTTCTTTGAGTTTTGCTATTAGTGTTAGCTCCTTGTCAAATGGCCCAATTAAAAGCCTTCCATTTTCTAAGGACAAAAGCCTTCCGTGACATTTTTTGAAGAACCAGTTTACCGGGCAGCACTCTGTAAGAAGAACAAAGACCTTGCGAAAAAGAAGCCACTTCTCTTGAAAATCTTCACCCTTTGATCATGCCCCTGAGAAAACGAGAAACCATCCGGCTCCACTGACTAGTGTCTAATTGCCTATATTCTCTCTTAATATACTAATAATGCCCCTAATATTTTCCTACTGATATTCCTAACAATGGATTCATTGTCCCTATCTTTTTGTATTTCTAGTTTTTTGTCAATTCAAATGCTTCTTATTGAAAGAAAACATGATTGTAGACATAGATCTTGTATTTCAAGTTTTCAGCATCTCGTGTTAAATTGCTAATCGGCTTGTCTACGATAAGAGATGACCTGAACAATTATATCATATTAATTGATGCTAGGAAGCTGTGCATCTAACGGTCAGTGTCATTTTTGAGGATCCTGGAGTGCAAGAGTTACTTGTCAAGCTTTATCAGAAGGGTAATTAATATTCCTTCTTTCTCTGTTGCAATCCTCTGTAAGTTGGGCAGTATATACATATATTTGGTTGGAAGGATATATGGTTTATAATCATACCATGACAAAAATAAGCGGTTAGGAAATTTGTGCCTTCGCCTGTGAATGTTAGATTTTTTTTTTACGCTTATCTGTTGCATTGAAATATTATTCTTTTTATCAGAAATATAAACTGGAATAGTAAACGAAATCAGAAAATATGTCCCGATGAAGAATATATTTTGGATAATGTTGATTTTTTATGGATTATCCCTTGCCATACCATATATGGTCTCTCATGTACAAAAGTTCAATGAAAATTGTTTTTAGTCCTTTGGCTAATGTTCTTTCCCTATATTTCGCATGTCATTTGTCAATATTTTATGTGTTATGAATACTAGTGTGCATAGAATTAGAAATTTTTTTTTGACAAAATGGATAGAAAGTTTGGGAATATACTAGAGTATGGTATAAAATATTTCATTTCAATGAAAATTTTTATGAAAATTTTTGTTTCTTATCCAAAAAATTAAGCAACAATCCATCTGAACTATCAACTTTATCCCTTTTCCTATGATAGAATGGTCCGAAGGGCTCGTTACAGAATACCTAGTCGCAACGTTTGGAGACTATTTTACAGATGTGAAGATGTAAGTTCTCATTTTCCTTTTCGCTTCAGACTATTTTACCTATTTTTATCTTTTTGTTTTAATATGGTTATAGGCTTTAAGCTTTACTATCTTCATATAATCTTCTTTAATGCTTAAGGTACATCGAGGAAAGATCATTCAGAAGATTTGTCGAGGCTTGCCTAGAGGAAACTGCGATCGTCTATGTAGACCATTTGCTGACACAGGTTTCATTCTTAACTTCCCGACGCCTAATCTCGACTTCTTTGATCCCTATGATTTGAATGTCTAAAATCCATCTTGTGTTTCTAGAAAAACTACATAAAGGAAGAAACTATTGAGCGGATGAGGCTGGATGAAGAGGTCCTCATGGACTTTTTCAGGGAGTATATTAGCATTTCTGTAAGTAATCCCTGCAAATCTTATTGAAATACTCTCACTGCTAATTTTATTGCACTTTTTTTTTTAGATACCGCAAGTGTTCAAATAAGAGGACGAAAAAAAAAAGTCTCTATTAGTTTTCCGTCTATAAATTTTGGAAAGATATTCAAGAGTGTATATTATTATTTTACTAAATTCGATTAAAATTGACTTCAAACGAATGATAATAATTAATTTTAAGATTTATTGAAAGCACATGAAGAACCAAAGTGATATTTTAACGTACATTTATTAATTTATTTATTTTGATCGGTTTTTAAACTTCTTTTTCTATTCTGTCTTTGTAACAGAAAGTAGAAAGCAGAGTAAGGATACTGAGTGATCTAAGGGAACTTGCTTCTGCGGAGAGTCTGGATACTTTCACACTCATTTACACAAATATCCTTGAGCACCAACCAGACTGCCCGGTAAACAAATTTCTTAAGATAGCAATTTTGGCTCCGGTATCTCGGGTTTATTATAATTTTGGGTTTATCAAATTACAGCCCGAGGTGGTCGAGAAGCTCGTTGGACTTCGGGAAGGCATACCAAGAAAAGACGCTAAAGAGGTATTTCTTTTATTTCAACCATCATATATTATTATATCATGTGAAACTTTACTACTCTCTGGTCGTCACTTAGTTGGGAGTTAATATCGCAATTGCTTGTTTAAATCATCAAATGAACTATGGGTTACTGTTTTAAAAAACACTGGAAAACGAAGATGTCTAGGAAAAAGAAACAAAAAATGTTATCAACAAGGGGAAGAAACTAAGTTATAAAACATCACGAGAGTGGTCTACATGAGCTATCCTCTTTGAGGTTGAACGTTCAAAAAAATTCATACCCCTACATTTATTGGGGAGCGGCTGCTAAGAATCAATTGAAAAAAGTAATAGGATTAAGAGGAACGGGTTCGAGTTATGGTGACCATCTGTTTAGCTTATAAGGTTTCATTTTATAACCACATATTGTGGAGTTAGAATGTTCTCAGGTGAGAAATTAGTCGAGGTGCATGCAAAATGATCCAAACACTATGACTAAGCTATATGATATCTTTTTATGAACACGACACATGCAACGCCATGTTGTAACGAAATGAAACGAGAAAATATGAGAAACTTACATGGGGGTGGTGGGGGTGGTGGTAGGTTGTACAAGAATGCAAAGAAATATACGAGAATTCGCTGGTTGGAGGGAATCCGCCAAGAAGAGGGTTCGTATTTCCAAGGGTCAAGAGCTTAGCACAATCCAAAGCATACCGATGGAGGAAGTGAGCTTAATTAAGTATTGTCTCTTCCCATCTCTCTCTCTCTCTCTCTCTCTCTCTCTCTCTCTCTCTCTCTCAATTCATTCAGTTTTCCTTCATTGTTCATAGTATAGTGTTCTCTTATTTTTTTTTTTTAATTATTAACTTTCTTTCAAGATTTTGGTTGAAATTTGGTGTGTGGAAGTTAAAAATTTCTAACAAGTAGGCTCCAATGAAGTTTCAAAAATGCATGTCTCTATTTTTACTCATTTTCATTATTCTTTTTTATTGGTTTGCCTACTTAATGAAAATGTGTTATTTGCTATTATGGTATTATTTTTTGTTCATGTAGCCCCCGCTATTTGCCACAATAATCAACAATGGGTATTTAAATCTTTGGATTTTAGGACTTTGGAGGGAAGAAAATGTTTTATTATTTTTTAATTAAAATTTTTAAATTACTTTTTGTGAAAAAAATTATTCAAAACTTTAGAAAAGTGAACTAAAATAAATATAATATATATTAATCGTCTTTATAAGTTTTGAGAATATATTGACACCGTTCTTTCTTTTTTGCATTAAATTATTTAATCAATTCTGATAAAAAAGAGAAAGATTTAACCTCAAACTAGCCATATAGAAATTTTAATTTTAGGATTTATTAAAAATAAAAAAATTGAGATTACAACAGAGACTAAACACAAACAGATACACCAATAATGAACTTCAAATTTTCAAATGATTTGTTGAGAATAAAATATAAATATCATTATAAAAATAAAAAATAAAAAAAAAACAAAAAAAAAAACTAACATATAGATCTAAAGAAGTTAAAACAAAAGCAAAAAAAGTGAACCTTTCCCCTGAAGCTTCTAAGTTAAATACCTATATACACTAAACCCCTTCTAACATACCCATCTCCTCTGCTTCCTTTTCTAAGTTCTACCAAAAATGTTCAGAGTTGGAAGAATCAGAGCCAGCCTTATTCATTCAACTTCACACGCTTCGAGTGCGATTCCCGAATCCAATCTTGGCATTCTTCGAACGTCCCTGAGGGTCGAGCAAGCTGCCATGCAAGTATCTTTTGTTGCTGCAGAATGCACGTAAAAGATCAGTACCAAATAGTTCGTTTCTTTTGTAACAATAATATTTTTATCGAGTTAAGTTCCACGTTCGACCCGTATGTTTTGAAGATGGTTAGAATATCGACATTTTAATCCTGAAAATCCACTCACCCATTCTCTAACAAGAGGTCCTCCTGATTTTAGCTGCAAAATGTTCATAATCTCTTTTCCATTCACTAGAGGTTTCACCTCCCACACATTTTGCAAACCTGAAAGCAACAGGGAAATGGGAGTTTCCCAAGGAGTCGGGTTAGATGCCAAAGATTGAACAACGAAACACACAACGTTTTCGTACGCTCAACGGGTTATGGGTTTACCTAATTTAACGATCTCATTGTAGACGACATCAAACAATTCTTTCCGCTTTTCCAGTTCGAAACGTCTGTTTAACAGATCTTCAGTATAATCTACATTAGCGGGATATAACAACGTGGCCAACAATAAAGCTACAGGCCAGAAGTCTTTAATTTCCCGCAAAAGAAGCCCTGCAGTGGACGAAAAATATGTCAACAAAGACAATCCAATGAATCTACATGTTAGAATCGCGACAACCGCTAAACTTTCGTTCAGAGATATCAATGACGCGAGCTCTTGATTGTGCAGTAATTCTATAATTTGATTTATATAAAGTTCTTTACAGTACCAGTCAATACTCGAATCCTTGACGTATCAGGAACATCCGCACAGTCAACACCCCAATCAACGCCATTGGGTTGGATTTCCTCTTTAGATACGAGAAGCGGAATCAAGGTCAAAAACTTTTCCAAGGCGTGATGTAGTTGAACAACCTATATGGGAAAGATGTAATCAGATTCAAAAATCCGTGGAAGTGCGATAATTTAAATATATATAACCACAAAGAACAAACTAGTTCGGAGCGTAACTAACCGTTTCAGCATCGCTAACTTTTCGCTTAAGGGATTCCCGAAAAATATGGTTGACAACAGGAATCTGCAGGGCAGAAGATTCAGAATTTGAAGCAGCCAAATTATCTTAAGCACACAAAACAACATCAGTGAAACGCTAAAAATACCTTTTTGGATTTCTTATCTTTAAACGTGAATTTTCTGATTGGAAGGAATAGAGCAGCATACATAGAGAGCCTTTTCTGTTCGTCCTATAACTCGAACGTTATAGAAAACCATTAGTAAAATAATTAAACACTGATAATCAATTTATGCTATAAAAGAAACAACGCCATCACGGGACGAATTGCAGGCCATAAAACCTCTAATAATCTTTTCACTTACATTAAAGGTGACGCATTTGATTAGTTGGAGGAGGTTCCATGTGGCCTCTTGACAAGCAATGCAAAGCCTAACAAAAGGGGTAACCCAAAAACATGAGAGAGAGATAGAGAGAGACCGAGTTTCGTTTATTCTTGTTTTGAAAGAATAATTATAATGCCAAAGATATGGTATGGGGTGATAACACCCGAAGTGTTCGCTCTCTGCCTTCTCGGAACCTTAGACATACCTCATAATATTATATACTTAGCAAACTACCTAAACACCTTCATGGCAAGATGAATCAAACTTACCTATTACACACGTCTGGTATTTCGGGTTCAGTGTTAGAAGGAAGTGTAAAGACAGTCCAAAATAATGTCAAATCACAAATGTAGCTCATTGCTTTAACTGGCTGATTCCCAGCCATCATGAGATCGATCTACATAAGACCAAGAAACGGAAGAAACTATTAGATCGAGTATCATATCCAATATCAAACAACAAAAAGTTTTCTGAACAAGAGATATTCAATATAAAACTCACTTCAACCCCGATACGTTCTCTGCTAATCTTGGCAGCAAGAGCAGCCTTTACTTCTTCACATGATGCGGCAACTTTCAATTCTTCGTCCAGTGTGAATTCAAATCTGGCACCTGAAATAATTACAGGAGAGTAAAGTAAAGGGAAAATCATGAATAAAGTAAACATCATAAAATCAGATGCAAGGTTCATATAACTAATAACACATACAGAAACGTATGGCTCGAAGGACTCGAAGCGGATCATCCATAAATGTAGCTTTCGGAGGTAAAGGAGTCACAATTTTCCCAAACTTCAAATCCGAAATGCCTGCAATTCAAGGTTGTATAAGGATGGGAGAAATATAGAAAATGAACAACTAGTACTCTCTTCAGACCTCAATTATCAAGGAAATTTCTCGTACTCAGTCTGTTTTTTTATACATTAAATTGAACATTTCACCTCTCATAATTATTTTATGATAAGAAAGAAAATAAAACAAAGCAATTCTCAATATGGACTGTAACAAAAGTAAATCAATACAAACCTCTTTTTGTCATATCTTCAACTAAGCTCGAGTTGATGTTGTAGAACAAGCTTTAAGGGGGAAGGGAAAAAATAACATTAATAAAACAAGAAATATAATTTGAAGGAATATAATATCTTAAATGGGCTATGTGATGAACAAAAATATACCTATTGATCGTTAGATCCCTTCTATAAGCATCCTCTTCAGCCGTCCCGAACTTTTGCTGTGAAATCAAGTAAACAGTTAACCTTCACGCATATAATAAAAATTTAGACAAAATATTCAGCATAAGTAACAAAAAATGCTGCACATTACATGATTAATTAAAGATGGAGGCCAAAATATCGCTAATCAATGAAGATTTCTGCACTCACAACCAGTCATCTTAGGCCAAAAAATACACTATTTCTTACAGTATGAAGCCGAAATATTTTTATCTCCATAACAAATATCGACATAATAAAGTTAAAAACGCATGATTCAAAAGCTAAAGATTTCGTCATCGTTGTTTGACGTTTTAGGCATTCATCACTCACGTCTTTCATGCTAAAATTCCAACCTATAATCTTAAGCACAACTGAAATTTTCTTTTCGAACCACAAAAATGTGAACTTGGAAATCAAATGACTACATACCTTAGTAGGAATTCGGCTATTCTCACTGTATTCCTCACACCTTAAGTTCACAAAATCAATCCATATGTCAAAGATACGCATCCTTGCTGTTTCTAGATGTTTTGATTGCTCAGGGTTACTGGAAAAACATAATTCGAAATTAGGAATCGCTTCCAAACTGTTCAAAAGAACCAAAAAATAAAGCCACAGCATAACAAACTTGAAAAATCATTCTCGTTCTTAAACTAAAACGCCTCCCAATTCCTCTTTAGTACTCCTAATTAGCATATAATTGCGCAAATACACATGATTCTCGTACCATGGAATAACAGCGACTCCTTGCGCTTCTTCCCCGACTGTCAACAAATACTCTCTAACCTTGTCCACAAACTCGCTACCCAACATGTTGTCCAGAGCGATGTCAATGTCGTAACAATCTTTGCCCAGAAGCTGTAAGGTAAATCATCCAAAAACACGATCAATTTTCTTTTAAAAAAAAAATCCCCCAAACCCTAGAAATAGTTCGTGAAATTCAGGCTCATCAACAGCAAAAAAACTTACAAAATCTCAGAGAATTAGGGAGATATAAAGATAGAGAACGACCTTATCGCGAACCCAACCGCCGGCAACTCGAAGCTGCGTTTCGAGATTGAAGTGACGAAGAGTGCCGAGAAGCCTATTAAATATCTTCTCCTCAATTTCAGTGAGTTCAATCTTGTCTTTGACTTGAACGACTGGATTCGGCGTAGAGATTGACGACGCCATTGATTTCGTAGACAGAATCAATGGAGGTCTGGTTCTTCTGGGGAATTTGGGGGCGCCAAGAGAAGTTGAAAACCTGGCGACGGAACTGCGGAAGGAGAGTGGCGGAAGGATGAGAGCGTCGAGTTTGAGAGCAATTTTGAAAGATTTAAACACTCTCATAGCTTTATAAAGAAGCATCCAATACCGCTATGATCTAGGACTCGTTCGGGATAGAAATCCCACGAATATATATATATATATATATATATATATTTTTTTTTTTTTTTCTTCTCATCACATTGTTTAGTATAATATTTTATCTTGTGCTTCGATTTGGCGACGATTCCCTCCTCTCTCCCTTTTCGGGGAATGGCTGCAATCACAAGCAAGTCATTGAACGAGTGTGGGGCTCCGAAAGCACATGCGGGATAAGGTGTTTCAGGGTCCGATCTAGAAAGAAAAGAGAACTCTCAACAAGCTGGAACTAATCAAGATCAATAGGTTAGTCGAATATTCTATCTTAGGATTTAGTCGATCGCTTGTATCCTATTTAAATGTTGTGAACATTAATGAATATCGGGCTTTTGATCCCACTTATGTTTCTCGGACTTTCAATCTCACCTTTGTTTCTCATTCTTAACACCTCATATAACCACACGGGCTCTCTTGGCGTTACATTGCGCCCTGACACGAGTTCTCATGTCTGTTTTTTTCGACCCACAGCCCAAGAAGTTGGCTTTGTCAACACAACATTAAGGTCGTCCCCTTTATTCTATGTTGACTCTGACCCCGGGTTGACATTTTAGGAAGCCCGTTTCCACTGCTTTCACTGCCCTGGTCTACCAATGGTAGTGAAAATTCTCTCATTCTCTAATCAAAGACTTGGTTAGATGCGGGATTTACTCCACGAGGTGCGATACAAACGTGGCGTAATATCAAAAGAGTAATTAACTAATGGCTCAATAATGGTAATAAATCAAAAAGATTTTACTGTGATCCTGTATGATTTTTCTACCTACATCCATTTCCTAACTGGGTGAGCTCAAGCATTTCTACCACCCTTTCTGCTCACAGCATCACATACTCGGCACGGCAGCGTGTCGAGGCTTGCAGCACGGGTCATTCTATAGTTACCCAACGTGCGGCATCGTCTCCAAGCATGGTACTCGGCATAAGCTACCGGGTCATTGGCAAGTCGCTTTACATAAGAAGCTAACTCTTCTAACGAGCGGAATTTAGACCCATCAATTATAGAATGTGGAGGGACAAAGTCCCAAACATTTGGGGCACCAAAATAGATCGGAACCGAACCAGAGTCTAGCGCGTAAAATAGCTTCTCTGTCACGTAACTTTCGGTCATCGTGTTTTCGATTGCTAGAACAAATTTGTAATGAGACATTGCGCAATGCAAATGATCCCACCATTTTGGGGTAACACTGCCATCATTCGCACATTCAGGGTACATAGAGAGGGCCATATCCAGTCCGCCTACATTGTTCAAGCACTTGCCAAATGAATGGTGAGGCAGCAAAGTTAGAAGCTTTTCAGCTAGCTGATTTCTTTCGGGAAGACAGCGGGACGACGACCAATAAACGAGCGTATCCTAAGAAAATATCGAAATTGTGAGTATCACATTCCTTACAAAGACGAAAATCAGATTGGTAACGAAAAAACTCACATTGTTTTTAGAAGAAGATACGTGATAGTTTCGACCATTGTGAAAGAGTGCTCCTGCGTAAGTTGACTGAATGTCGTCTTCTGCATGATAACTAACAAATAGATCCTCAAAACCCGAGCGCTTCCGACCAGCCTCGAGATCCATATATACGCGAAGAGGATCTCCCCTGCGCCTCTAGAAAACACTAAAGAGAACCGTAAACAAAATTGATCCAGCCCCAACATAACAATAAGGATGACCATGGAGTTTGTATGAAATTATGTACAAAGGGTATTGACTAAGATAACACATTACCAATACCACCACCAAGCAAGTTTTACTTAGTCCTTGTGATCTATGGTCAACGAATGCAATGATATGTAACATGCTAAAGCAGACAATATCTGCTAGCGGTGGGCTTAGGCTGTTACAAATGCTGTTAGAGCAATACACTAGGCAATGTGCCAACAAGGACGCTTGGGGGTGGATTGTGAGATCCTACATTGGTTGGAGAGGGGAACGAAGCATTCCTTACAAGTGTGTGTAAATCTCTCCCTAGCAAACGCGTTTTAAAATCGTGAGGCTAACGACGATACGTAACAAACCGACGCGGACAATATCAGCTAGCGGTGGGCTTGGGCTGTTACAAATGCTATTAGAGCCCGACACTAGGCAGTGTGCCAGCAAGGACGCCAAGCCTCCAAGGAGGATGGATTGTAAGATCGCACATTGGTTGGAGAGGGGAACGAAACATTCCTTACAAGACTGTGTAAACCTCTCCCTAGTAGACGCGTTTGAAAACCGTGAGGCTGACAACGATACGTAACGGGCCAAAGCAAACAATATCCGCTAACTGTGAGACTAGGCTATTACAACAAAGTCCCTCATTGTTTATCCACTCTTCCAATCCCAAACCATTGAATTTAGATTCTCTGCAACCTTCATTTCCAAGGTTGAAGAACCAATTCAAGACTGACCACAATCACTGAATATCAATGTTAAAGCAGGCCATAATCCATCAGATCATAGTGTACTAAGTAATACTATCTGCAAGCCTCATGACATTATCAATACAAAACACAATACCACCAACAATTCTCAGTTAAAAAACCAAGCACTTCTCAATATCCTACATGATTCAAGCTCTTAGAACTAATCGTGGCTTCATCCAAACAGATCATAAGAACTGAATGAGGCAGAACAAACAATTATCCAAAATCGTGTAAAATGCAACAGACAGAGAGATACAGATAGATCGTAAAATTCAAATTAAGCTATGGAAATTGAAAGAATCGACCTGTCTCGGAGGCGTACTGGTCTCGAAGAACAAGGCGTCAGGTTTATCAGCAAGAACAGAAGATTTAGTCCAAAGACAACTCAATCCGCAAGAACACGAATACAAATTGTCTAAATTATCCGGAATCCATGTCCATCCTTTCACCAACACAGCAACATGAACCAATTTCAGAGCGCGACAATCACCACTAGAATCGGCGCCGACTAGCTGCAGCGAAGAAGACGAAGACCGATTACCCAAACCGCCGCCAATTTTCTCCCGAAACCGATCACAACCGACCTGAGAATCCCATTTATTAAAAGAGGTGATCAAATCAGTGAAAGGATCAGATACAAACTCAACGGCTGAGAGATTCAGATCGTCGGTCGGCGGTACGATGGAAGTGAACGCCGATGGAAATTCAAGAAAACCAGTTAAGAGGAGGATGAAGAATGCGAGAGCAAACATGAAGATGACGGGGACGGTGTTGAATGGCTTCAAGAGCATGGTTGGTTGGAAATGGCGGTCGCCGGTGGGTCTTCTCCCTCCGGCGAGAGAGAGAAAATGGAATGAGTCAGAGAAGGAAGTCCAGACATCCTAACGTTTTACGTTAGAGAATGCATTTTTTATATATTTAAAATATTTAAAATATTGTTAAATTATTTATGTTTTATTGTTTCAATTTGAACATTAGGCCCATTACAATATATTTTGCAATAATTTTAATACACTCGGCCCATTGGATTGAATGTTAGGCCCATGGGCCGAGCAACAAATTTAATTGGGTCGGCTCATTAAGTTTTTTTTTTAATGGTAATATTTGGCCTCGTGAGTAAATAATTGTTTGTTTTAATTGAATTTTAAAGATAAAAATAAATTTTTTTAGTACAATGAATATAGAAATCATATTTTAAACATAAATATAACCCATCTTGAAATAATTATTTTGTAAAAGAAATTATATTGACCGTTTATAAGATTATTGTATAATTTAAAAAAATTAAAAAATATATTTTCTTTTTAAATTTTAGTGAATTAAAATCCCGACCGTAATTGAGAATGAAAGATTTCTCGTAAGGGTGTGTAAACCTCTCCAGACATGTTTTAAAATCGTAAGGCTAACGACCATGTGTAACGAGTCAAATTGGACAATATTTGTTAGTGGTGGGCTTTGATTGTTACAAATGTTATTAGAGTCCGTCACCATACAGTGTGATAGTGAGAACCCGGCGCAGGGTTCGAGGAATAAGACAAAAAATCTTTATTAAATAAAAAATTAAAAAAAAAAACATTCAAAATCTATTGATTATGAATAAGACAAAAAAATAAAGGAAGGAATTGTGTTTTTTGGGATTTTGAGTTGGATTATGAAAGCGACGCGCCTACATGTGAAATGGATAGCCACTTGCTCAAAATAATGGTCATAGCCAATGAGATTATTATGGATTTTTGTGGGGAGTGGGGCGCACGCGCGTGCCTTTGTCGGACCTTCATTCACGCGCCGGGGCCACTCCATTTCTTTCTCGGCCCTTTTATTTTTATTTTTATTTCTTTTAATTTCCGTACATCAGCCGATCCATTTCTTCTAGAATTTCACTTTTTCTTTTTCTTTTTGAATTTTTATAATTACTTTTGCTTTTTTTAATATTTATTTTGTGTTTATTTTTATTTTTATTTTTATAATTTTAAAATGTTGATTTTAATTCCTATAATTTAATTTTTACTATTAAAAAAGGTTTATAGGGTTTGGATATTAAAACAAATAATAATGTGACTGCTAAAATCCATTAAATTAAAAATATTTACGTTAAATTATAAAAAATACTCGAACTTTCCTGGTTGTTTTAAACTACTCTTATTCTGTTAAAAGTTGTAATATTATTCATGCTTGAAAGAACCAACATTCAAATATGTCAACTTTTCGTCCAATATTTTAACGGATTTTCTACCTCAAAAATAATTTTGAATCATTTTTTAATTTTTAAACTGAGAAAAAAGTTTGGGAGGATGCCTCAGCTGCATACATCATTGCACTTCCACTGGACACCTATCGTGATGATAAACGGCTCATCTCGTCGTTTTCTTGAATTCTCAAAACTTATGTCGCTCCATCCTCGTAAGGACAGAGAATCCATCACTATCTTGACTGTGCTACTAGAGGCTTTGGGGAAGTCGGAATAGGAGAGCACTCATCTTGGGGTGGGCTTACTACTTAGATGCTTTCGGTAGTTATCCGCTCTGCACTTGGCTACCCAGCATTTACTGTGGGCACGATAATTGGTACACCAGAGGTGTGTCCTTCCCGGTGGATTTCTAACCACATTCTCCATATGCCCTCTTATCTCTTCCTTCTTCGAGCTCAGGTTATGGAAGAAGGAACCGAGAAGAAAGTATCAGCAACAACAAGTTTTATTACGGGACAACTCATGATGTTCATATCGATCTTTTTATAATGTTCCTGTATATTTTGAGATTTCGTTCATTTTAGTCCATATACTTCTAACAAAACTAAAAATTGGTCAGCCAGTGTAAAGTCATATAGTTGTCTAGTGATATTAGTCGAATATAATAATAATAATAATATTATTATAACCGCCCAGACCCACCTATAAATATTGTCATCTTCCACACCCATATGAAGGGTGATTTGTTCTCCTCCCCAACCAATGTGAGACATCGGCCCATACCCACCTGTAAATATTGTCATCTTCCACACCTTTATAAAGGGTGGTTTGTTCTCCTCCCCAACCAACGTGGGACATCACAATCTACCCTCCTTCGGGACCCAATGTCTTCGCTGGCACTTGTTCATTTCTCTAAGAGACGTGGGACTCCCACCAAATCCACTCCCACAGTCCACCCCCATTTAGGGTCAGCGTCCTTACTGGCACACTGCCTCGTGTCTACCCTCTTCGGGGAACAAGGCTGACACATCGTCCGGTGTCTTGACTCTAATATCATTTGTAACAGCCCAAACTCACCGCTAGCAAATATTGTCCTCTTTGGGCTTTTCCTTTCAGGCTTCCCCTCAAAGCTTTAAAACGCGTCTGCTAGAAGAAGATGTTCACACCTTTACAAAGGGTAGTTTGTTATTCTCCTAAGGGACATCACAATTATTATTATTATTTAATCAAATATTAATTTTATATAATAAATTAGAACAACTAAAATAATATTTTAAACAAATATTAAAAAGAAAAAGGGAGTGAATTATGAGAAGAGCTATTATGTGAGTTGTTGAATTGAAATGTGAAATCCCAAAAAAGGGGTCCAATTATTTATTTATTTATATTTATTATAATAATTAAATTATTTAAAATGGGGTCCAATTTCCCTTAAAAGAAAAGGGCATAAGCATTTGAGGGTCTATTTCCAAGAAAATGGAGATATGGTGACGGGCTGCCCATTCCCTTTCATTCACCTAATCACAATAGGTAATGGGTCATTGTGAAACCCATGTGACCCTCTTTCAACCTCTCCTTTCCTTCTTCTTTTTCCTTTTTATCCCAAAAATAACCCTATCCCGAACCCTACAAAACTCGAAACTTATCTCGTTTCATTTCCCCCCGTCTCTCTTGTAACCATTAATAGGTTTGTCATTTTAACCTAGCGAGAATATTGCTTCTATTATTGAGAAAGTAAAAACGGTTGATTTCTTAGTACAATGAACGCAGGGGTGTTGAAGATTTAAATCTTCGACTTCGAATGAAGGAGTATATGTTAATTTATATGTAACCGTTAAATAAGATATATATATCCAACCCAATTGTTCGAATTTCTTTTTAACTCAAATAAGCTCGTTAAATAATGAACCAAACTAAACTCAACCATAAAATTTTATGGGTTGGTTGGAATGGTTTGTTATTTATTCAAATTTTTGTTTTTAATAAAAATAAGATTGTTAATTCATAAAATATCTATTTAGTTTCGACTTATAAATAAGATTAAGAAAAAATTGGTTGGAAAATAAATAATAAAAAAAGATAATTATGAAATTAAATAAAAATAAATAAATAAATAATATATATTGGTTTTTTTTTTTTTTTTTTTACTTCGGTGTAAAAAATGCAACATATTGGTTGGATTTGACAATTTATTTGAATAAAGGAAAAAAAAAACACAAAAATCAAGTGGGAGATTTGAGGACCAATCCCTTGTCTACCTGTTTGTTGGTGTACAAACATTGAATTTAAGATGGTTAAATGAATATTTACTCACCAAATAAATTAATAAAACATATGCATAGGTAAATTCATGCGGGAAAAAAATAATAAAATAGAATTTATGAGATCTCACATTGGTTGTAGAAGAGGGGAACGAAACATTTTTTATAATGGTGTGAAAACTTCTCTCCAACAGACGTGTTTTAAAACCTTAAGGATATCAATGATACATAATGAGTCAAAACGAACCATATCTATTAGTAGTAGGCTTGAGCTCTTGCAAATGGTACTAGAGCTAGGCACCAAGCAATATGCCAACGAGGACTCTAGGCCCTGAAGGAGAGAGGGGTGGATTGTGAGATCTTACCTTGGTTGGAGAGGCAAACAAAACATTCTTTACAAGGGTGTAAAAACCTTATAACTGAGGCTAATGACGATACATAATGGGCTTAAAGGGACAATATCTGCTAGGAGTGACTTTGAGCTATTATATAATGACACTTTAAACCGACCCTAACTTGAGAATACGAGCAACAAGCACTCTTGCACTCTTGAGCAGGAACTAAACTCTATTTTTTTGTTTAGAATTAGAGAAATTAAATTTATAATTTAACCTAGAATCATCGTGTTCACCGACAAAAAAAAAAAAAAAAAAAAAAAAA